TGGCCAGACCTGGCCGCGAGGAGGAAACCCCACCCACAATACCGTCCAGCCGCTTCTGAGCCCAAAACGCTGGCCTCAAGAACACCAGCCCCCTAACCGATATGAGGTACATACCTGGACCAGTTAGGCACCAGATATGCGGAGTCCGGAAGATGAGCAAGGTTGATGAAGCAAACCACCACCAAGTAGAGCCGTGTCAAAGTGTAGAAGATAAGAAGCAAAATGACACTGGTGTCAAAGATAACCTTGTAGACGAAAAAGAGGATGAGAAGCATAATGTATGCGACATGTGTTAATCCCTTGATCATGTCTTGGTCAAAGCCCTCCCAGGGTTGTGGCAGCAGTCGAACAATCTTGCGCATGGGGATGATCCACATGACCCATGATATCAACAGGGAGATCCAGTCCTCTGGCTTTACGTTCGCTTGGATGTTTTGAAGGACGGTGTGTATCTCGGTGATCCTCCCGAAAGGATCCTGCCAGAACGGGGGAAATACGATCCACGATGCGACAAGGAAGACCGGAATGATAGTGGCCGTTATGGTTAGGCTGGACACCCTCCACAGCGTCTTCTCAATATCGGTGAAGAAAGGTGCATTCCAGGCAACGCAATGGAGTCCACCATAGATGAACCCAAAGATGCTGAAGCCTAAACAAAATCCGAAGCGTGTGCCGGGTTCTCCAAACCGAGGAAAGTTCCCGATGCGATCCTTTAGGAGATTGGGAGGGACAGTATCGAAACCATGATAGAGAAGGGAGAGTTGCCACCGTCGGACGTCAGAGTGAAGAACTTTGACATAGGGGACAACCAGACTGATCTCCTCTAACCGTTCCTCCGGAGTCGCATCGTCGATAGGCCTGTCAAAGAATCCAGCACCACGTAGTTTGATACTGTCCCATTCGTTACCGTGATTCATGTCGGAAGCAATTCGTTGTTTGGCTTCTGCAGGCGTCATTTGCACGAGGTACAAGAGGTCCTCGGATTTGTCCACCTTCAGGAAAAGAGGCTCTTTGGAAGTCCTGTGACGTTTAGCCAGTAGTCAGCAGTCATTGATCAAAATTACCTTCGGTGATCGAAAGGCGTATGGGGAAACTTACTTGTGTCTGTTTGAGAAATGGTAGCCCAGAGGCGAATACACAAGGTCCTCGAAAGCCCTCCGACGAGCAATAAACATACCGAACTTCCTCTCGACTGGTCCCTTTCGGTTGATATTGATCCTGTGCTCAAGCTCATTGGTTCCCTTTGACTCAACAGGAAACACAAGACTGTGCACATCTTTGTGGAGATGAGCTGATTCTGATACTCGGTTGTCCAGCTTGCTCTTGGTACACATAGCGGCGAGAAGTTTTGCCTCCACACTTATACCCTCGGTGTCAAGTGGTATCTTCTCTGGTTCGTCAATGCTTAGTGGCTTACTCCACCACAAGCCGTATATGATCAATGTGCACACTGCATGTCCGAAGGTGTTCAGTTCCAGCAGGCTTATCGCCAGGCCCTGGGCAAACCGGGTGAAGCATTGGGCGCAAAACCACGATGCTACCACATGGTATGATATTGTTAGCAGTCATTCCAATCACGATAAGTCTTTGTTCCGGGGGAATAGTGCACTTGCCTTGCAAGCAAACCAGAGCCTTAGCAAGGGTGTTTCCTTTGCTCTTGTCTTGGATGTGAACGAGTGATGGCTCGGGAATCAATGAGTTTAGTCCTTTCTCCTTGAAAAAACGCAGGGCTTCCGGAACCAACGTCAGTCGTGTGCGTCGTGTCCCAGTGGACTTCAAAGGGAGGAAGGACTGGATCTCCGCCTTGTCATCGTTTCCGGGTTGGTCCTTCATTTCAACAACGAAGCCGCCCATAACTGCAAGGAAGCTGTGCATCATGGTCCATTTGGGCTTGAGGGAGCTCTATATCAGGAGTGTTTTAGCTCAAGGCGACGTATGTTGGATGATAGTGCAGCATACCTCCAGGTCCATTGTATTCTTGCGATGCCTGAAACACGATGTCATGCGTCTCCAAAACCTCTTGCTTTTTGCTTTCCACCGTGAAGAGTGGCCACGAGACCCTTTGGGTGGGTTCATGGCTTTGGTAAGCTTCTTTGCTTGTGTGTATTGCTGGAACGCCGTAAAGGCAATCTGTTGCCGTTGTCAGCGAAGAACAGGGTGTAGAAGATGGGAAAACGTCTTACCAGTTCTGGGCAGACAAGACCCATTATCATCCATCCAGTCTTGCGTAGGAACAGTCTCATGCCGGTCTCCTTGTGTCCAGGGACGTTGAAATGGAGTGAAGTCCATACACAAAGACCGAGTGTTAGGAAACATGTGGAGAATATTGCGAACGTTCCTCGCCGTTCGGGCTCTGGTACGAAGTGAGGGTCAGCTGGGCCGGTGAAGGCGCTCCCGAATATTCCGGAGTGGATCATCGTAAATGAAGTTAGAGGGAATATGTAAGAACGGAAAGCGTGAGTGAAAGGAAGAACCGGATGATGGGGTGTTCGCGAGGGCCACCAAATGAGGATCGGTGGGAAGTGGCCGAGGAGAACGAAGCTCACCATATATGTCCGAGAAGGCTCCACGGGCCTGCCATCGCACCGCTCTTGCCATTGGTTTCGAATATTGTTACACAATCAATGTAAGATATCTATCCTGACGGCTCGGTCCTGTCCAACGAGCAACCGGGTTGGTCGGAAACGAAGGCCGAAGGAGCATAAAAAACGCCCTCATGGTCGTGGACCTTGTCTACTGGAGGCTGAAAGCCACCAAGGCAGACTATCGTATGGTTTCAGACCCCGACAAACCCTTTTTTCGGTGTCGGCGAACTAATTGAGGAACACTGTTAGCCTGGACATTTTTCAGAAGCGAAGGCGGCTTGGTTAATGCATGGCAGTCCATCTGTATTCACGCCTTACAGCTTTGACAGAGCCTGCTGCGGAGGTGCATGTAAAGCAAAGGCTGAAACCCCGGAATAGCATCGTGCATGGGGTGAACGACAAGGCGACCAACGAAGGGACGAGATACCTCTTACCTAGCTCCGTGATAAAGCAGATGGCTTACAGGCGCTTGGGGGCGTATCAGACAAAAGAGGAGAAGCTGAGGGGGCGGAGGAGCAGGGCCTCGAGCCAAAAAGCTTGCAGTATTGTGTGGTGCTGAAGCGCCGAGGCCAAGAAGGATTTGATGTGGAAGCGGAAAGGAAGAAAAAAATGACTGAAAACTGTCGATAATGAGATCGCAAAATGGCAGGTTGTTAAGGGAGGAACAGACTGTCGTTGGAAAAGATTTCCCCACTCGAATCCCTTGACATGTTGAACGCGGGATGCTTCTTCTGATGTATATACTGTACATAAAGTGCAACATCAGAGACGGGAAGGGGCTACCCTTGATAATTTCATGTCACGTCACACAACTTAACCGAGAAAGACCACCCATTCGTTCTTTCCAAACAACTGTGCTAAATGAGTGCGTTACCCCGCCTTCTCCCCCAAGCAGTTTGAGACTTCGAGATGTACCGAGCTCATCGCGTTTCAATCTCTTCATCTGCAACAACCGTCACCAAAGATGATGCTCGCACGAAGGAACTTCCATGTGGCCCAATGGCCCTCGCGGTCAATTCTCTCACGCAGACTTATTGGCCCCCAACAAATTAGATCCTACTACGACGAACCAACCACCCCCTCCCACATCGACGCCATCACTCGCGACCCCACGTACCAGCGCATCCTGCGCAAAGTCTACGGCGCGCCCTTCCAAAGCCTCGTCAAGCCACGAATCGACGAATGGTTCGCCTACTGCCTCCACCGGGCCACTCCAGTAACACCGTCATCATCAGAATCATCAGGAAAACATATTACCATCCAAGACCGCACGCGCGCCAAGCACGAATGGGCCCAAGAAGTCCTCCACCTGCGCGAACCCTACAACCGCACGCCGTGGCGATGGGACTCGCTCAGCACGCGGTCGGAGCCGCCGGCTGGTATGCGGCAACCAGGGGAGCCAGTTGATGACTTCCTCAAGAGGCTGCCGCCGGTTCCGGGGCCGAAGATAGGCGGGAAGAATGACCGGTTTGTGCCGAGGTGGTATTCTCTGGAGAACCCGAATCGCGAGGCTTATTACGTGAAGGGGTATTTGGATCATGGGAAGGCACATGAGCCGCATCGGTTTGGGATCTGGATTGCGAATCTGAGGAATGCGTACGTGACGTTTTTCGAGCAGGTGGCGTATAAGAGGCGGATTGGGAGGATGAGTGAGGAGAGGTATGAGAGTGAGTTGAGGGAGTTTATTGGGAGGAAGGCGAGACAGTTTAAGTTGACCAGGGGGGAGGTATGTATAAAATCTTGGATTCATCAGGGTGACGCTATTTGGACTGTTACTAACTTGTTTCTCCAGTGGGTGATCCCCGTTCCGACATCTGAAGCGAACAAAGCCTGGTTGGCAGTAGCCCAAGCAACGGATCTCAATGTCCTCGGCACCTCCGCCCGGATTGCCACCTCTTCCTCCATCGATTACCCAGACCATCGCCTAATCGCCGTCCAAACAGTGGACATCTCCGACTACGAAGACGTCGAGCGCGTCCTCCGCCGCCTCGAAGGCATGGGAATCGTGGACCGCGCCAACACACCACCCGTCCACTACCAAGCAGAAGCATACTACTACCTTGGCATTGGACCCAACAACGTGCACAACCTGCCCACGGCCTTTTATACCAGCGAGCAGTTCTTCGACGAGGAACTCAGGTCCAAGTTGAGGCGGGGGCGACCGGGGCAGATTCTGGACGAGTCCGTGTTTCGAAAAGGCGAAGAGCTGCGAAGGAAGCAGCAGGAGGAAAAGGAGGAGCAGGAGGAGATTGCGGACTTTGGACGGATTTGGAACCAGGAGCCGGAGGAGAAGAAGAACGTCTGGATACCGCCGCAGATGCTGGTTCAGAGGGATCCGAACGTGTTCCAGGAGTTGGAGATTGCCAAAACGGAGGCGGAGAATGCGAGGTCCCGAAAGAAAAAGGGGAAGAGGATGACGATGGAGGAGTGGGAGGAGACAGAGGGTGGTACTGATCCGGTTGCGTTGGCGTTGAATGCGAAGAGAGTTGAGTGAGTGGGCACGTTAAGGATGCGTGTGGGGCACAATCATTGTGTGTAATGTTTGATTGCCGTTAATATATGTGGGTGATTCCCTGGTGAATTTCCAGCTTGTGCTTCTAGATGTTGGTAAAAGAGTTGCTGCCTTGTGCTTTCGCTGATCCCTGGGTTTCTGCCTTTCTTTTCTCTGTGTCAGCTACACTGTAATCCTGTTTCTCGGTAGACGTCAGATCCGTTGACATCACTTCTGTGTCCTTGTTCACAGCATGACTCGCCCGCAACGCTGCCCAGTCGATTCGCCTTTCCGTAATGTCGGTTGAAGTGTCTCGCTCCGTCAGAGTTGACTCTGATATAGTGTCTAGGTCTCTTAGCTGAGGACTTGCCCTCAGCCAGCGAGCCCGAGGAAAGAGGCGTACAAGCAACGGCTTTAAACAGGCCATGCAAGCGCATACGATTGAGACGTTAAGTTCCCCCATGCTGTTAAAAGGGATCGTGGTTAGCTTGACCCGATGTCAGCACTGGGGAATTGGCAAGGACCACTTACCTCCACATATAATGGATTGCCAAGCGCCAGGTGTAGTCCTCGTCTTCCAAGGCGAGAAGACCACAGACGAAACGGAAAAGACTTACACCCAGCACGCTACAAGCCCTTCATGTTAGCCAGGGCTTCTCCAGAAGCGGGGGCTGCGACAACTTACAAGCCGCCTGTCCCAAGAATGACACCGATGGCAACTTTTTGAGCAAAGTCAACTCTCAAGGGCCTGATAATACATATAGGCATTAACAGAATAATGGCATCAGCCAAAACATTGAACCCCAACAGTACGGTATACCATATGTTGTTATTCCCGCATTTTTCTTTCTGCCAATGGGTCCAAAAGACGTTGATCGGTTTGCACCAGTAAAGGACCGATGTTGCCCCGACAAAGTTGAAGGCAAAGACGAAGGCGATGGTGAGATAGACGGCATAAGTGAAGCAGCGGGTTGTTGTAAAGCGTAGGTAGAACGAGAGGATCGAGAGCTTGGTGAAGAAATTGGCGATTTGATACGTGGGGTTGACTCCAAAACCGCTAATCTGAACGGCGTGGTCAGCTACGGGAAAATCTTCCAGTCTTGTATCCTTGGAAGACATGGAGTATCACGATGACATACGAGAAGATACGGGGTGTAGGTATTCCAAGGCTGTGGAACATCGCCAAAGTGCCTGCCAAGCCCATATTTTGTTTCTAGGTTGACATGCATAGTATTAGCCTCTCCTGTCAAAATCTTGCGTCCGTGATGCACAGAAGAGACAAGTAGACGTACGTATTGTCACAGACAGTGAGAAGAGAAGGGAGAATATCTACGCAAGCATCCAATCAGCCTATACTCCTTACAGGTATGTTCACAAAGAAGATCATACCAATGCAACGAGAACGAACCCTGAGAAACCCCCAAGTTAGCACCTGGCTGCAGCATTCTCCTTTTATCACCTTAGGATTCCTGACCCAGGAGGCAGGTTCGTTTGCTTACAATCTTCCTTTGGCTTAGATTTCAGGATGCGACGGGTCGTGTAGAATCGAGCGCAGATGAATAAGGCGGGGAAGACAGGAACAAGCCAGGCAGTCAAAATAAGTTGAGGGCCAACAGTCTCTCCTTCGCCAAACTTCTTCGGAAAGGCTTCATGGGGCGCGACCGAGATATTGCTGGGCGGGCTTTGATGTTGGACGTCCATGGATGATGGAAACTTGCGGACGCAAGAGCGCGGCCTTGCATAGTGTAGATGAGGATTCCAGTCAGATATCAATCAATGGAGGCGTGGTAGCGGAGTGTTTAAAAGGCAATAGCTTTCCTTTTTTGTCCACTAGGGAGTTTGCCTTTGCTCGGGACACACAGACAGTAGTCAGCAATGCCGACCCCGTTGGAGGGTTGCGAGTGGTTGAGGGGACCTGGGAGAATAGACAGAAGGAGTTAGGTTGGGGCGGGTAGAAATCGGCTATTATCACTAGGTCGTGGTACTCAGCCTAAACCATTCCCAAAACTGTCACGACTTCTTTCCTTGGGTGTCCTAATAGCTTGTAGGCGTCCATAGTCACCGCTCATCGCTACGAGACGCTGATCACTGTGCCTAGTGCGTGTAGTGATGACTGAGCGCGTGGCGGCGAAGATTGAAGGATTGAGCTTCACTTGCGGTTGTTATGCTTCACGATGTTCGAACGGGATGTCACGGTGGTCTTCCGCATGCACTGGGCAGGGCATCATGGATTGTGCCAGACTGCTGCGTCGGCGACCGGCATCACCATGAGGGGTTTGTGGGGAATTGAACTGTGATAGCCCCTCTGCCCGAGACACTCTTGGTGTCTTTTTGGGACATAATTATGAGAACAGTGATGAAAGAGCGCAGATTGCTACGTGCGAAGACTGGGGAAAGCTTCGTTAGGATCGAGGATTGCATTGTGAAATGATATGGCTCACGGCCTGTGCGCGGAGGAATCTTGGTCGATTGGTCGGCTGAGGTGACTTTGACTTAATCAATATAGAGGCACCCCATATTTCCCTAGGGTGGTACGTGCGGGATACGCGTCGCGTTTGTTAATTACCCCGCCGTGGGAACCTTGATGGCCTACGTTTTTCCCAGCGCCTTCCCAAATGGACCTTTTGGCGACTTTTACACTGCACTCAATCCCGCCTGCCAAATACATATCTTCCAAATTGCCAGCCGCCCACTTTGACTGGACTGTTGGAAATCGCATTCTTGAATCTTGGCCCTGATGCGATCGATCTCCGCATCTTGCAATGGCTGATCCGCCTCTTCTTGCCGCGGCCCCTGCCGGCGATGCGCACTCTGATGTGTCTCAGATGCACAACCCAACTCGAAGCAAGAACGCCAAATCAACTCCGATAGATGCGGCAACACAAACCGACGATATTCCATTCAACCCTCCGTCACGTCCGCCTCGAACAATACCTCACCGCTCACCCTTCTTTGGAGTCTTTCGAACCGCCTACGAGAAAGCGGATGCCTCTTTGGTCAGCGAGTCGCTGCTGTCATGGCCGGAAAAGTACGGACACGCCGAACCTCCGGCGATTCTTTTCGGTCCCCCAGGAACCGCAGGGACAGAGTTTACATCTCTCCACCACCTAGACCACGATACAGCGCGACGAGTGGAAGTTGTTCGCCGGGGTGCAAGAGCTGCTGGCTGGGACGTTTTCTTCGCCAGTGTCAGAGCCGCATGGTCAGGCCCGTCGATTTCCAAACTCCACTCAAATGCCCAGCACTGGCCTGTCCACAATGCGGAATCCGCACTCTTTGAACACCTGGACCGCCGAGAGGTTGATAGCTCCTGGTTCGACGTGGAACTCATGTCCGTATACGATTTGGATGGAGAGCCTGTAGTGCCACCATGGGTTTGCAGCTTTAACCCACCGAGGCCTTCCATGTTAAACAGTATCAAGGGCCTGATACACGAGGAGCTGTTCTGTACCTGTCCTGATGAGCAGACTATGCCGAATTTCGCCTCCCAATACCTTGAACAAAAATGGATCCACCAATTCTGGCACGCAGATGTAAGTCTGGCCCAGCCCGAATGCTTGACCCCATACTAACGTATTACGACAGACGATTCTACTCCTTCCTCAAGCACAATCTCCAGCTATACTGTCCAGCTCGGCCGCTGTGAATTCTCCCATTGGCAACGATGTAGTCTCACATATCGCCCAGTACTTCGTGGGTTTAGCCCTTCAACCCACCGCCGGATTTCCTGATGCCGATTTAACAGTCCACAACGCCCGTGTCGCCGTTGATATGGTTTACCGGGTCATGGACACTGCAGTATTGGGCCCGGTAAATGCGGATACTATCATGACTCCTTCTGTGAAGGCCCATATACTCAAGTTCGCAGGAGAGCAGCGGGATTACCCCCTCTTTCTTCGGGCTTGCACTCTTCAAGCCAGGCTCGACAGCGCCCCCGACCAGCAGCTTTTCATTCCTTCGCTCGATTCTCTCGCGAAGAGGAGGTCGTTAATGAACTTTTGGTCTCCGCACCTTCGAGAATGGTTCGTCTCGTAATCTCCAATCTACGGCGCTTTCTATTGTAACTAACATGCAACCAAAACAGCCTAACTCAGGTCATCCTTTCGTACCAGAACTTACATGACCGAGTCGATTTGTACTCGCCTTGCCAAAACAGATCACCGGTCAAAGTATTCTGTCACACCTGCCCGTGTCTTCGTGGCTCAAGCCTTTACTTATCCCCGATGACCTGCGAACGCCTTTACTTTGTTCATCAAAGGATGGCTGTGCTCTAGGAAAAGCCGCTCTCAGCTTTGACAACGAGTCTTCTATTGTTACTGAGTACGTCGAGTCGCTCAAAAGCCTTGCAGAGCATGATTGCTAACATCAAATTAGACTTGTGACGAACATTTTGAACCAAATGCAGCTGCCCACTGAGCCGATGCCGTGGATCGCTGCGTTTATCGAGTCCATACACTTAAAGATAGATTGGGTAACAAGACGGCGTCTTTGCCAATCATTCCTCAAATTCGACCACTTTTTCACATCTCACCACATACCAAGATACGTGTCTGCTTGGTCATCCGCGGACATCAACATCATTGGCTTCCTCCTTTACCTCGCAAGACAAGTCGACATTAAGCTCTACAAGGTGTGGATAGCTGACCTAAGGAGATCGGTCAAGCAATGGGACGATATCTACAAGAATGGCATGGTGAGCTTTTTCAGCTCTGTCTACGGAGTTGTATCAAAAGCATCGCTGCTAGACTCTCTATGCACAGATTTGCTCAAGCAGTACTACCGGATGTTCATGCGGCCACCGCAAGCTCATCTATCCGGCCATCAGGACTTGTCACGGACACCCTCCAGACCGGTTGATCCTACCGACTCTATAGCAATGGAAGGGTATCGGTTCTTAGTGGATGCAAGCCAAGAGACAGCTCGGTTCAGATGGACAGCCCTCGAAAGAGATTTGGCCAAATGGCTCTGGAAAGACACTGGGGTTCAAGTCACGCTTGATCTGTCTACGCTGCCCCCTACTCTGATGGTCAAGAAGCTTTCTACATCCAGTGATGAATGGCTCAAGCGGAGAAAGGCTGCCGCCAATTCATGCAAAGACCTGGAAAAAATTCGCCATGCCAAAATGGAACAATTCCCAAACTCTCAACCACCATACCTCGTGGATTGGTCGTTCGCGGATGGAACCGGCCCAGATCCAGCATGGGTCTTGGAAGATGATCCGGCAATTCCACCCCCGGAAACCCCGAATACACCCAGACGTCGAGTTCTCGACAGGGCGGTCTCACCTGGAAGCTCTCCCACATTTGCTTCTCCTGCCAGCAGTGAGGTTAATGAGCGCGACGAAAGCATCAGAGATGACACGTATGGTGTTCCTCTGGATGAGAAGCCTGACGACCAGCCATCCCCAGATACAACGGAGCTAACCAAAGAGGAAGCTTTCAAAACACTTTCGTACGATGAGTTCATGATTCGGAGGCACAAAATGGAACTGAGGGATGAATGGGAGAAAATCCGCGAGGAAGACGAGGAGGATTTGAAAGAGCTTTACGTGCTTCTTGGGCGTCGCAAGGGTCTTCCCCGAAAGGCATACATTACTGAGGAAGTTTTGCAGCTCGCCCAAAATCCATCCGAGGGACTTGTTACGGACCATCGGAGACATTGGTTGACGACCTCCTGGGTAGGCCGGCTGTGGGAACACAGGAAGGGGGATCAGATTGATCACTCCCGCTGACGATCCACTGTTCCAGCACTCCAAGTACGGGATCAAGAGGAAACGGGGCATGGGCTATGACGAGGACGAGGACGAGGACGAGGATGATGTTCATCCCGTATGGTAGGTAATTCATCCAGTGTATATATGTTCGGTGTGTGCTGGCGGATATCCACAATAGAAAGTCAGAAAGAAGGGTGCCGATAGACGGAATGCCCCTGATCATCAATCGCTCACTCGCACCCCAAATCTCCCCCATTGTCCAAATCCACAAAAAAACCCTTACTCCTCGTCCTCATAAAACACCAAACACCTAACCTCAATGCTCTCCCGTCCTGGCGTTCCCTCCGGCGTCGCCGGATCCACAAAAGCCGTATGCGGCGTCCACCCCGCCACGCCCTTCTTTCCCCTCCCCCACGGCTCCTCCAGTCCCTCACCCCAACTATCAAAGCACTTAATCAGCACTACCTCCTCGGGCTTCATATCCTTGACATAATAAAACTTATGTCCCTCACTCGGCACAACCCCGTACGTCTCGCCCTTGACTTCATACCCCTCGGTGCTGGGCCACGTCTCCTCGGGCGGGAAAATCTCCTTCCCGCGATCGTCACCATCGTCCTCCTCGGGCCGTCGCTTGGGATAAAGCAGGTCAATCGGCACCAGATCCCCCGGGTTTGTCGATCGCCAATCAATAAACGCCAGCGGAAAATCCGTCGCCGGATGCGAGATGGGGCGCCACACGTTGATGATCTGGTACCGGCCCTTCAACAACTTGTCCGCTTCTTCCGGCGGGGATACATGTCTGCGCACCCTAGCGGCGGCTGCCGCGGGGGTCTGATCGACGTGTACCTGTTGCACGGGCTTTCGTGCCGCCGAATCGTTGTTTCGACGAATAGTATGGTCGAAGATCTCAACCCTTTTGATGCCCGGTAATTTTTGCCGAAGTAAAGCTTCTACCTCGGCGTAGTACCCTGTCCGAATGGCTGATTCGTCGGTGAATGATTTCTCGGTGGCAGGGTGTTGGTATAAAGCAAAGCCGGAGATGTCGACTCCGAAATCTGTTGGGGAGGATTGAAGGGCGGAGCGTAGATCGTGAACAAATTTTGGGATGGAGACCCGTGAGAAGGAGGAGTAGTCGACGTCTACTTTTGACCAGGACTTGAGGAAGGGGGTAGTGGAGCGGTTTATGGTGAGAGGATCGGCGTAGCGGAAGGTGCCAGTTGTCATTTTGGCTGTGACTGGGGTTGTGGTAGTGGTGGTGGTGGTGGTGGTGGTGGTGGTGGTGGTGGTGGTGGTGAGGGTGCGGATATGTTGATGTTGGGTCAGTTTGGTAGATGGTATATGAGGTCTGAATCTGATGGCGGTCCTCCTGAGTGATGAGGTGACTGCTTGCATTTGACAGTTCAGTTGTGAGTTTGTGGCCGAGATGATTGGTGATGATGAAGAGAAATGCTTCGGATGGATTGGACCACAACTTTGACGACGCCCGCCGGGAATGATGTCGACATGCAGGGTTATATACCGGTTCGGAGGGCTGCGGGAGCGGGCGGGGGCCGGATTGCGCCACTGGTAGTCCCGCTGGCGATATCTCCACAAATGCCGGGGATGGATTAGTAATGCCAGGGCAATTGGTAATGGTGTTGATATCATCAGCAACTTTCACATTCTATGTGTATTACTTCGAAACACCACAAGCTCGACAAGTAATCATTTTAATATCTGTCATATCCTATCTCGTCTTCATGAACGTGGGTCATGGTGAGGTGGAGGTGTTTGGCCGTTGTCGCAATACCAATTTCTTACAGCGGGAGCGGGAGCCTGATAGTGGGCGAAAGAATCGAGGGCGCGGAGACTAACAGTATTGGATGTGCTTTAGTGGTAAAAGTGTAAATGAACTGTTCTTGCCCTGTTTGCTCTGAGGTCCCGGTGTTACATGAACAGCACTAACATTATTACCGGCAAATGCCCTGTACAGCTGTTAGTGTCCTCCACTTCGGGATCCCTCGAGTTTTAGTTGCCTGGCGATGAATCTTTTGAGTTTGGGGTTTCCCTCGATTCTTCCTCCAACTCAAATGTCCTCTCTCTGCCAGAGAGTACCTCTTAGTGTTCCGACGAAACGGACCAGCTCATCTCACGCCCACGGTTATTCGTCCTTCATTTCACAAGTGCTAGGTATTTTGCTACCGATGGGATTCTCTTCTCCAGCTTCTTCAGCGCCTACAATGCAAGGGTCGCGTCAAAACATCGCGATGCGCTGCGATGCGAAGTGCTGCGCTGCGGCCGCCATGCATCCAGTAACGAGCATTCAGTGGCTGTAAGACAAGACACGCATCGCATATCGGCATGCACTTTGCTGCACCTCACGAGACAAGCATAGAAGTCAATGATTCATATGCAATGCAATGCAGTGGTCAAGGTAAGTTATGTTTTTGTTTCAAAGATCGTGACGACCTTTCTTATGGTCTTTGTATTAATAAGGTATCTAATCTGTATGCCCTTCACGGTATTTCCAAGGGCATTTTCAAGGGCATTTCCAAGCCCTAACCCATAACGATCGTGTGGTATATGTCATGATATGTAAGTCATGGCCTTGTCTTCGTAACGACTCTGTCGTAAAAAAAATAGCAAATACGCCCTTTTGCGCCGCGCTATATATCCGATGGTAAACAACAAAAAATGTTCAAACACAAACAAAAACAACAAAACCCCTTCTTTCTTTCTTTCTTTCTCTCTCCAGACAGCGGAAGAACCAGCTTAACTGTCAAAGATGGGGCCATAAGCCGGGATGCCTCTCATCTCGCACCCATGCACAATCTTCTTGGTCATCATGGGGTTGCTGATGCAGCAGACCGCCTCGGCGTTGAACTCCTTGAACAACCGGAGAACGATGGGCAACATGTCCACGCGGCCGGTGATGGAGGTGTCAAGAATGACGGGGTTGCTGTCCATCCTGTGTACGAGGTCCAGGGTGCGCTGGCCGTAGGTCTTGAGGGGGGACTTGGTCTGCCAGATGACGCGCATGTCAGGCCTGTTGGCGTCCTCGATGAAGGAGAGGCAAGGGCCGATGCCGGAACCGGTGGTGACGACGATGATCTTGGGGAACATGCGCAGAACGTAGCCGAAGCCGTAGGTGGGCACGCCGCGTTTCCAGAGGTGGGTGGGCTGATCGTTGATGGTGGACTTGGTCCAGTCGCCGACCTTGGAGACAATGCACGAGAACTTGGTGTCGGGGCTGTCGAATTTGTCGGTGAAGCAGGCGAAAGAATGCCAGTCCTTGAGCGGGTGCTTGGCGACAGAGATGCCCTGGCCGAAGACGACTTCAGTGTGGTTGAAGTGAAGGCGGATGGCGTGGGCCGAGAGAGGCTCGGGCTTGACCTCGATCTTGCGGAGCATGAGCCACGGGTGGATGGTGGCCACGGTGAGCACGATGAGGATCCAGAAGGCAGGGAGATGGACGAGGAAGTGACCGATGCTGGCTTCCTGGGCGCCGAGCAAGATGAGAAGGATCCAGAAGAGGACGAGGATGATCCAGTTCGCGAAGCGGTGGGTCAGCTCGAAGTAGTCGTGTAGCCTCATGCGGAACGTGGGGTAGGCGACGATGACGATGGAGAGGAGGAAGCCTAGGACGGCCCAGACGAAGGTTAGAACGGTGGTGTTGATGACTGATGGCCTGTAGTCATACGTGTACAAAGCCGCAAAGCCAATGTACCAGACTACCGATGCCACGCCTGTCCCGCTGTGGACGCCGCCAAAGTGGAAGACCTTGCAAGCTAAGCGGCGGATCCTGATGGGTGCAGATCTGGGGATGGAACCGAAGATGAGGAAGAGGGCATTGATGACAAGGGGTTGACGGCACAAGCCGCAGACAGCGATGTTGACGGCAGAAGCGTTGACCAGGTCCATGGGCGTGGCACCCTTGATCATCATGATGACAAAGGCAATGGCGTTGCCCATGAAGGCTATCGTGAACAGACGACGGTAGATGGTGAGGATCGTGTATCGGACACGCCCCAACGGCTTCTGCTTGTAGTCATCCTCCTCGGTCTGGGCCTCGAGGTCGACAATAGTTGGGCATGTTGACTGGTACGTGAGCCGCTTCTCGTTGACAATGAGAGGCTTTTCCGAGTTGGTTGATGATGTGGAGATGGCGGAAGCTTGGGAGAAGGTGGATGAGACGGAGTCATTCTGCCTGGTATGGCCGAACTGCGGCCTTCCGCTGGAGGTTGTAGGTGGGTTTGGTGTGGTTGTGGTCTCGATCGTGACTGTGATCCCTGCCGTTGAGGGCTTCTCCTCGACGGGGGATGTGTATGGCTTGTCCTCCATGATGAAAATGTCTAAAGGTAATTTCGACTACGGACTCCGAAGGATAAAGGTTTCAGACTTGGTCGGTTTGATATGTGATGGAAGAGATTGCGATCAACTTCTGGAGGACAACGGGATGGGACCACCATATATCAACGTCCGGAGTCCGTCGTCCTGGTCTACCATAAAGCCAAGGGCAGCCACCCCTTGGAGCCCGATGCTGGGTGGTGAGCTGGCCCGGCACTGAGCACATGTCGCCGCATTCGTCGAGTGACTGGGAGGCTCGCATCCCTTTCTGGTGGTCCATGACACCGGGATGGACCATCGGTCTTGTTGCGGAGTTTGCGGAGTCAGTCTATGGTCTCTCTTGTCCACACTGAACCAACATTGCGGTAAGTGATCTACGCCCTGTCCACTCTCATGTTGCCAATCGATAGGAACTGATAAAGGGAATGGCGGGCACCGTACATGGAGGTTGCACATCTTCACGACAAGCTGCCGGTTACACAGGCCGCAAAGCTGAACAACCACTGGGAGACGGCCATGAAGGGCGAGCGGGTGGAATCCGACAAGCTCCCAACCCAGGCCCTACTGCATGACGACAACATGCTCGACTCAATCCGAGACGGTCACTGGCCTTGAGACAACAAAAGGCGGAGGTTTAAGGCGGGGAGGTTGAGGTGTTGGCATGCAAATTCTTCTGCATGTGAGACGGTGGTAGAGGAAAAGGGGTAGCACCACAGAATGGCAAACAGGAACTTGGTTTCTCATGGAGTTTGCCGGGACCGGGACGGGAATGCTCTTGACGGTGTATGGGTTGGCATCCAGGGCCATCCAGGGCTAATCAGGGCCTATCCAGGTCCCATGTCCGGCATCGCGGGCTCCAGAACGCCGGAGTATCTTTCTGTGGTGTTTGTGGTTTGGCAAGGGCGATGAAGATCGGTTGGTCCTCCCAGCTCTGCATGAAGAATTGGAGAGCAGCTGCAGGTCCAAAAGTCATGATAGTCCGACCCAATCAGTGCTGCCTCAGTCACCGGGAAGCACTGTCGTTCCACCCGAGACAGCCCTGGGCAGCTGGACGACAGCGGTCGCACTCCCCACAAACATTGGAACACTGGCCGTCCCCACGATTCCAAAAAAGTGGAAAGGGGATTGACAGGGCACCTTGACGGCCAAAGCACAGACCACCAGGCTGCGCTACTTGTATGCCGCTATCGCGAACCTTCCCCAGTCTTTTGATCACGATCGGCAGAGCAGTCACGCTAACTTGATGGATCCTAGCACCTCATCGCTTGCCATCGACTTGCAGTCAAACAGTGTGTCGGCGTGCCATGTCTTTTCCTCGGTTTTCCCGTTTTCCAACTCTTCTCTTGCAGTATTCTGTCGCTGCCACGGCAGGCCACTTCAGCTTTTCCAGACGATGTTGTCCTATTCTCGCCCTGTGATTGATCGATTGATTAATGGGCAATCATCATTGAGACATCGACCTAGTTCAACGTCTCCTAGTCTCCTCACCGTCGACGCCATGGTCTCACGGACTATTCCAATTATTTGTCTGACCGGCTTAGCTTCCAGTTCGAGGTAGTCATTCCGATGGTGTTGAGCCGCCCTGGGGTTAGGTAAATCGCCGAGAGACTGGTTCCTGACGGGACTTTTCCTTCACTGGCAATGATTGTCTCGACTCGTTTGGCCGTTCCTCAAAAAGTCCCCGGATGCCCTTGGGCTCCTCGAGGCCCCCATTCCCACTGCTACCGGAATGATCAGCGCCATTACCCGCATCCACATAGTGTGCTGACGGCTGACAGGGGGCTGGCGACGGGACTTGCCATATCGACTCGCTTCCCTCTTCCATGCCGTACCAAGCCACAGACTCGCACAACCACGCCCTTTGTTTCCTCCCATGCCATTGGTCCTGGGGCCAATATGGCGCTCATCCAAGAATCACTACGCCGTACCTGGACTACCGTCGAGGGCAAAGTGCCTTCGAGAAAGGCTTACGCCTAGAGTCACGAACTGTTCCTGGCGGGATGGACGTAACATCGAGGTGCGCAGGAACGGGCCAGTGGCTCTGGTGGCCTCCGCTGCTGCGAGGAAGCAATCATCCTGATACCCGTCAGTTCTTCATTCCAAAGACACAAAGGGAGTCTGCGAGAAACCTACCCGCCGTTCATCAGATTGCGACAGTCACGAGCGTCGTCGACAGTCGATCAGATCGCAAAATCACGGTGGAGTCGTCGACTGTGTTATTGCTGGCTTCCAGGACAAACCCAGTACACACAGCACCATGGGTTGTCTTCCCAGCCGCCCTCAACCTTCAAGCGCTGCGGGACCAAGCCAGAGGATTCCCATCTCGGATATTGTCAGCTTCGCACTTGACAGACAACACCTCTATGACCAGAACAAGCCGCTCTTCATTGATGCCGAAGACCCCATCCTCTCGTTATCAGCCAGTCAAACGATCGCATTAGTGCCGAGACTGGTCGCGGGGTTGCATGCGGCCGGACTCAAAAAGGGCGATGTTGTGTTATTGCATCTCGGAAACCATGTGAGTATCATCCCGAATCTACTCTTGTGCGTTGTCCTTCCGGTCCTCCACTGTGCTTCGCATCCGAGCCAACGAACATTGCAGAAATGGTCGCCGGCGTCCTCCTTTTTTCCTGCCTTTTCCCTTCTCATTCCGGGATCTACATAGATCCACTTTGTCTCTATTGTCCGGGTCCCTGTCCCGTTCAAGGGCCGGCTTCCCTTCCCCAGTTTTGCTTCCCCTTTCCTCCGGACTCCGGACTACCGCTTTCAGTGTTGTGTTTTTCTGCGATCAACTTTTGACTCACCAACTGACTTGACCACAGTATCTCTACGCCGCTCTGTTCTTCGCCATTGCTGGCGCAGGTGGCATCTGTTGCGGCTCTAACCCCGCCCACCAGTTCCACGATTTGAACCATGTCGCTCATCTTTCAGGCCCCAGATTCGTGATCACCACCCAGACCAAGACGGCTACCGTCCACGAGGTATGCACGAAACAAGGCATTCCACCTTACAACGTCTTTTTCGTGGAACCTCTCGACCACCACGTCCTCCAGCAAATACTCCGCAGCCCGAGTCGGGTGGAACAACAACTCGGAACGACCCTAGGCCATAATGCCCCAGGCAGGCCACTGACGGATCTCCTTCGCCATGGCCAATCCGACTGGATGACACTCAGCAGCGAATTGGAGATGAAGCAAACAACTGCTTGTTACTATTCTGCTCCTGGACCTACCGGCATCCCCAAGACTGGTTGCCGTTTCGCACTATGCCCTCGTGGCCCAACATATGGCTCTCCGTCCAGGGGATGAACCCTATGGCGGGTCTGTGGTCCGGCTAACATGTCTCCCACTCTTCAACATGTTTGGCATCGTGTGGAACCTCTTTGCCGCCGTACGATATGGCCATCCCGTGTACATCATGTCCAAATTCTATTACAAGCACTTTATCCACTACGTCGACAAGTATCGGGCATCTGAAACATATCTCACACCAGCGATCATCAAGGTCCTCATCAACCTCGAAGATCCTGCTCTCAGAGAAAGCTTGGTCACGCTCCGCTACATTGGCGTGGGTGGAGGGCCGATTGACTCGGTTGCCCTAGGAAGGCTGAAGGCCGCCCTCCATCCGGAAGCTACCGCGTCTCAGATCTGGGGAATGACGGAGTTCGGGGTTGCTGCCCTCTTCCGCTGGGGCGAACACGATGAGACAGGATCCCTGGGTCGGCTACTTCCAGGGTACCAGATCCGCGTGGTTGATCACAAGGGTCATGATATCACGGCAGAGGCCCGACCCGGAGAGCTGCTTGTCCGCTCACCAAGTCTCATGAGTGGATATATAAGCACCGTACCCTCTGCCGGGGTTGACCAAGAGGGATGGTTCCGAACCGGCACAATTGGTTTTGTCAAGAAGGGCAAGTTCTACGTTGTTGGCAAAACGATGGAGGTATCCGAAACCCTGAAGAACACACATTCCGAACAATTCTCACCTGGTCCTTTACCAGCTCTTAGTTCACATTCTTATTATCATGACACATGGTGATGGAGGATAACGAGGACATTGATACGAATGAGGTTGGGTCGTTGAGACCTGTGAGCTGTCTGCAAATGCTCATCGGCAAATACCGTCGCTTCAACGGAGCCGCAAATATCCGGCCTCGCCCAACCTGCAGCTGATTGTTCACCGCACACACCGCTTGATCGAGATAAACTTTTACGGTCAATCGGTCCTGCATCTTTGCGGGTGCAAAAACGTTTTCTCGCACTGGACTACCTGCATCCCGCCTCCGCGAATCGGAGCTCTTCTCTCGACGACATCCGACATCCACTATGCTCGCCGATAATGAAGAAAATTCTGCGAAGCGTGGGTCGAAAGCGAGCGGACGAGTAATTCGAACTCGCCAAGCTGGCTGGCCGCGGGAAGATGGTAAAACACGAGCTGTTTGCTGACCCGCGATGACCCGATATCACGAACACACTCCAGGATGAGAGGATCAGACAGCTCCCACAGTCCAAAGAGATATCGTTGCGCAATCCACTCGTCGCTGACTGCGAAGTGAATGCTCATAAAGCTGAGGTAACAGAACTCTCAAGAAAATGGGGCTGGGGGGGGGGGGGAGTCCCAGAATCGAAGGCATGGCGGCAGTGTGTTAGTTGAACAGAACTTTGTTGCTTCACAGTTTAGATCTTTCTTTCGTATCTTTTTCTGCGCAAATGCCTGCTTGGCGATGGTATTGTTTGTTCTTTAGTTCTGCTTTTCTTTGTGCCCAGAGGTGTCGTATATCGAGTTGATATTCTTGCCCAACCTCGCCACTTGATCACTCATGTACTGCAACGGACCTTGCCAGACACTCAGAAGCTGTTGTCCTTGACTCCATTTTAGCGCGCTCACATACTGCCCCAGCAGCGTGTCGATGTCAAGAGAGCATAGTTCCAAGCTGGTTCGCCTCGACCCTCATCCGTCCAAGTCCTCATATCGAATCATAGTATCCAGTTCAACGCTGTGCCTCCCGTCTTCACAACTCCTGTATTCCGCTAGGACTGTGGTAATAACAGACAGGACAGCATGGAACGAGATACCGAACTTGTCTCTTCCTCTTCATGTTTGTCGACTTTATTCCGCATCTTCACCTTGTTTTCCCTCTGCCGCCCTACGCTTGACCCCGTGTTGAAACACTCGTTCGCTGCCTCTAGTGAGGGTACTTCCTCGGAGTTGTTGATTATTTCCGCCAAATTTCTCCATGGCATCATCGCAATCCGTCACTACCTCGGCCAAGGAAGTGGCAGACGGGCGACGCGATATCGTTGTCATGAACTCGCAACCCAACCCGCTGTTCCATGCCCAACCGGCTCGCGAGGCCTACCTTGATGCCTATTATGTTGCAATCTACCCCTTTCCATTCCTCATTAACCATCTCAGAAGCAAAATGCCCGGTGCGGCAGTGTGAGGTTCTGTTTGCGGCACATCATTGGATGATTGCCCTGTTGGAGGAAGGCGCTTTTTTCATCTTTGCCAACGGTTCTGGCTCTATTCGTGGTTGGAATATGCAATAGCGGGATGAAGCATATGGACTATGACATGAGGCCTTCGAGGACAGACTGAAACGCAGGATTGGATGTCCAAAGTGAAAACACCTGGGAAAGCTAGCCTGGGGGCTTGAGCGTCACGGTTCCTTCAACGTCCAGAACTTCCAACATCCCCAGCAAGCCATGCATCATCACTAACAGGCGCAGATGAACTGGCAGCAGACACTTAACTTGATTGTCTTTACTATCCGTCGTTGTGCTGAGCTGAACTCATTACCTTTTCCCAAATGATAATTACAAAAACACTCAAAGCGTGGTGCATGGAGTATAAAAGTGTGATGAGCTGGGTTCAGCTCTCGTAGTTTATTACTATTCTTTGACCTTTTGCTATCAATCCTCTCTAGCCGTTTTCTTTTGCATACCACTTGCCCATTCTGGCCATTGGCATTCTGGCCGTTTACAGATCCGAGCCGTCCTGGTTCCCATATTGCCCTTGCCTAGCCCGGTCCCTCAACACCTGGTCGTAAAGACTGATACCCTCCTCCAATGACATGATTCTATCCTTGTGCGCGGTGAGGGCCTTCTCAAGCTCCGCATTGTCCTGCTGCAACATGGCTACCTCATCTTCAAGATCCTCGACCTCCTCATCCTTCGTCTTGACCTTCTTCTCAAGGTCCGTCTTCTCGGCCAAAAGCACCTCAAATTTGCGAACTTGAACATCCCGCTTCTCTTTCAGGTCCTTGTTGAGGCGCTTGACCTCTGCATCGTCCGCCATGAGGCGCTTCTTCTCGGCCCGCAGCTTCTCGATCTGGGTGCTGTAGTCTTGGCACTCGGCCTTATGCTTGCTCTCGAGCTTCTTCTTCACCGCCGCATGTTCCTCCTCGAGGCGCTGCTTCTCGCCTCTCAGCTCTACGGTCTCCTGCAAGGCCTGACTCACGTACTGCTGGGTGAACTTTCCGAAGCAATCCGCATCCTCGACCTTCTGCTTCTCGATGGCAAGCTCCTCCTTGAGCTTGGAGATCATGGCCTGGAACTTGGCGATGAGATCTCTGCCTTGCTCTAGGCTGAGACCAACCTCAGGCTTGCCCTCAGGCTTCTCCTCATGGTTGTCGCAGACTGGAAGTGAAAGAAAAGAATTAGTACACGTGATAATGTCTTTGTTTTGAGTTCACTTTGGAAGTGCAGGTCATACTCACGATAACGACGCCAGATCATCTCATCAGCCACAAACAACTTGAACGTGCCGACCCGGTTGCGCTAGATCTGGGAGAAGGCGCCGTACTCGTCGAGGAGCTCAGTAACGTACGCGCCCTCAACGTTGGACTTGAACTCCTTCTCGAGCTCATCTTTGGTGAGGTTGGGGTGACGCTCAATGACCTTGGTGAACAAGTAGCTGTGGTTCGAGTGGTATACAGGCATGGTTTGCTCACCATCTTGGCTTTTGGATGAAGACATCTTGAAGTTGAGGACTGGACTCCCGTCTCTGTTGACCATCGCACGTTTGTACTCCGCCGTAGTGACCAAAGATAGAGCGGAGTTCAGCTTCGGAACATCTACACCACGTCTATCAGTCACTCAAGACACATACCATAGGATAAGGAACAGACAGCTTGGGAAGGTAAACTTACGTCACACCGCCGACAAGCAGCTTGCGGACACGGCGCGCCGAAGGGAGAAGATAAGTTGCTTCAACCTCTGAGAAGATGTGAATGATGGCGGTGCCCTGTGAAGGGAAGTGGCATAGGTCGCCGAATGGTCTTGTTGCTTTGGTGCTAGTGCGCTTGGGGTTGAAATTTCTGGCGAGCGCTGGTGAAGAAGTGCAAGTGCAGGAGGGAAGTTGGAAGCTGGCGCAAGACTCAAGAGGGACGAGAATGAGAGGGAAGAAATAGGCAGCGCGGGGTACTGCTGATTAGATGGGGAGTTCGTCTGAAGTCAACGCAAAAGTACAAACGGAGAGGGCAGAATAGGCACACGCGGTGGGGCACAATTACTATGGACTGATTGTGGATGGCCTGCCGTCGTCTGCCCAAAGTCTGATTCCAGCTGTCAAGTGACTCAAGTTACGAGTGTCAACGGGACAACGACCGGCAGCGAGGGCTGGAAGATCGGATGGTTGAGTTCGAAGCCTAATATGGAAGGAACGGTATAGGCATACACGTCCATGGCCAGCCGTGGGTACGTACACCGGGGTACGTTGCCGCCCTGAGGCACCGCACAACCACAACGCGCGAGGATGGGATCGGAAAACTGGCAAGAACGAAGTGATCATCTTCGGAATGTCCTTTAGTAGGCCGACTTTGCTTTCGAGGTTACCTGTATCCGTGGCAGCATTGTGGTATCGTTACACTACCTCTACGGATAAGGGCGAGATTGTGGCTGCCGACAGCGGTACCATCGTTCATCTTCCCTTTTTGGGGGAGACACGAGCGGCGGCAGCAGACGCCGCACCGGGAGCACCACTGTCTCCCTCGACGTCATCGTCATCACTGCCATTGAGACCAGTGACCGCCCCCGTCTTTGCGTTAACCGTGGCGACCTGGCCGTCCACGAGATCCAAGATGTTGTGGGCTATAGGGTTAAAGGCACGCTTGACTTCCTTGTCTATGATGGTGATCTTCGGCATGGCTTCTAGAGCGCCTTTGCGGTCTCTGGAGGTCATTTACATCCTGGGGAGTGTAATGAGCAGCTTCTGTTGCCGCCGTTTATATCGGGCTGTTTCTTGATTCCCTCTTCCCAGTGGTCGTGCATGAAGCCATGTCGAGAATTTGCCTACATCCTCTTCCAATTTTCATGGAGATTTGCCTCAGACAACTCAGCGAATGCTTCGTCAACAAACACCGCACTACAAAGACCAACTGCAATGGTTGATATGCTAGGCGGCAGCTGCATCAAGAAGATGATCAATTTGCGGGGGCTTCATTATCGGCGGCATCCATGTTGTGCCCGCGAACAGCAAGATCGGCTTGAACAATGTCGCGACCAACAGCGGGCGCATTTTTTATTTTTTTGACCTACTTCTCGACCTGCTTCTCGATCTTCTTTCCTTCTTGTACTTGCGACAAGTGTTACGCCGTTTGACTTACCTGAGGCTCAGCGACTGCTACAAAGAGGTTGCGGCGGATGAGGTCCAAGTGGTCCATTAATGTTCATCAATTAACATCTATTGTCTGCTACTTCTTTTCCTTTGAACCGTGATCACTGCCTGCTGAAGCCAGAGCAAACCAAACCAAGGACTGAAGCCTGAGCCCCAAATCCCTCTTCACCTCAAATCTCTTCTCCTTCTACTTTTTGGTTCCATTACTCTCCCCTCTTCGTCGTTGACAAAGGGGCTTTACTCTGGTGGATTCTGCATCTCTGTAGCGCCGCGCAATTTAAATTACGGAGGCCCTCTTCTTTTTCTTTAAACGGGAGGGTTATATGGGAGCTAGGAAGCATAAGTCCCGAAGCACAAGACGACAGAATGCCTCAGCCATGTTGTTTGGGATCAGTCTTTTTGGCCTCAGTCGGTTTGCCATCGGGCTGGTTGGAATCCTGCTGATTAACTCCCCTCTCCTCAGCACGAAGCATAAGCTGGCCAAGGGGCGAGTTAACCGGAACACCAGGCTTCATACGCTCATTCTTGATACGATGATCCCGATTGATGTGGGAGCGCAGCGCAGTCTGGTCGGGGTACTGCTCAAGGCAGACTGTGCGGAATGCCTCCACCGCGGGCAAGGGGCAGACGACGGCTCCATCCTCGTGTTTGTGGCGGTGATGTCTGGGTACATGATAAAGTTTGAGTTAGTCATGTGAGCTTTGGAGTTAACTTTCTACGCGTTGCCGGAAAGGCCTGGAGATATTATGTATACTTACGCCTGCCTATGCTCTGTCAACTTGCTCAACCACCTGTTACAGATTTGGCACCACTTGTATTTGGGCGACGGGAGTGGGTTGGCGTTCCGGTTGAACTGCTGGACGAACCAGTCATGAGGCTCAAGAACAGACTCGTCCAGAGCTGACTCGTCATTGTCGTTGTTGGTGTTTGAAACTTTGGTTTCGCCGTCTGCGGTGGCGGTGTCAGCAGAAGTCGAAGCTTTGTCGCTTGGGCCGTTCTTCTTGGGGGAGGTGGCAGCAAGAATTGCACGGTGGTCCTCAAGACCAAGCTCGGTAAACTTCTTGGTGACGCATGCCTTGATGCTTCTCGCAATGGGCGCAAAGGAAGTGGCACTTTTTCAAAAGGTCCGTCAGCTTTTTTTATTCACAACCTGTTGCAAGCTGCGAGTTACCGCGTTCTGACTTACCCCTTCACGTTACCGGCTTTAACCTCCTCCAAATAAGCCTTGTCGATACAGTCGCTTACGATTGAGGCGAGCTTGGTCCTAGGCAGTTCGACAAAGAGTCAGAAAACATAAGCCACGGCGGCTCTTGTATTTTACATGCATACTGGTGGGCTGAAGTTACTTGTCCGACATTGTCGCGGTGTTTGGTGGAAAATAAGGATGGTTGTTGTTCGCTTGACTGCCATTGTGAAAGGGAAGAAGGAAAGACGTGAGATCCTGCGAGAATCCAGTATATTTATGCTGTCGAATCGACAGCTCTGAGCTTCCACTGTTCCTCAGGCCGGAACCTTGGATCCATCCTGGCGTTTGCTGAAGTGAAGGGCAAGCAAGGTTCGCCTGCCCTTCACTTCACTTTGTTAGGAAGGTTTGGTTGCAGTCCACCAACGGCCTGTACCGGAAAGTGAAGGCTTTTTAAAGGTTTTAAGATTTTGGAGCCAGGATTGATCACTGGCAGCCGGGCACTAAACAAAGCAAAACCCAGTCACCGGTCAGACTCTGACAATAATTCCAGCAAAACGGCCAAGTACTAGAGCAGGCGCGAACACAACTCCGACGCGTTTAATGTCGACTCACGTGGGTTTTTGTCGAGGGAAGAGTCAATGGTGTTCACTCCGATCTTCTGACGCACGATTCTGGAGATACCACCAAGTGCATCAGCCCTGCCATGGTGAAGAGGCTGGGATTGCCGCCGAAGAAGTTCGAGACACCTTGGACCGTGTCACTGACGAATGATTTTCGGGAGTCACTTATATCCTTCTCTTTGCTTCTCGATTCCTTCACTAAATAGGTACTAACTCCTCTTCGCTCTTCTCTTCACTCTCCTCTTCATCCTCAATCTCTAGGCTACTTACCATCAGTATCCCTCGCGGACAACAGCCTGAGAATTGGACGGCACAGGCCGCCAACGGCTGACTGAAGGGTCTGCATGCACGAACGTCGATGTTCTTGTCGTTGAGGATGGTTTGCGGTCCGCTGAAGGCTTTAATCCACTGGTCACCATCGCGCTGGACCTACCACCAGCCACAATGCACGCCCTTGGGATTAAAGACCGTGTTATGCTTGAGTTTACCTAGCTATTCATACTAACCGGAGTGCATTCAGCATCGTAGAAAGCGATCACGGAATGCAGATCCATGGAACCTACCTCTACCTGGATGTGTCTAGAATCTAGCAAGTCGACAATTGTCTTGGACATCCTGCTTGATGACCACATATGCCCGAAAGCAACCCTATCAGGATTTGCCGCCTCTCGTTGTCCGGGTGTTGCATGGTCTCCCCATTCTGATTTACCCCGGAGAACGTAGCTGAGAAATGGTCGAGATCTTGAAAGGGGTACCCAGGAAGGATACTCATTTGCCCATATAGGTCCATCCACGTGTTGTGGACGGGTGTGCCTAAGGGAAGGAATGCGGCGTCCTTTGCATCCTGAGACTCGTCGATGATGATTGCCAGAATAGTGTGGTCGGCCGAAGTTGGCGTATAAGTTCGAATGTAGTGGCGATCGAAGCTTCTTGGTGCTGCTAACTTTGTGCGTTCGGCGAGTCGATAACTAGGTACCTGGGTAGGCTAACTCGTTCTTGTTCAAAAGCCTCAGCCTCCCTGTATCGAGAGCGAAAATAGGATTGGTTGCATCCAGTAATCATCCAGGCCAAATCTTCATGTTATCTTTCTGTTGACTGAACGCTGTAAACTTCATGACAGCCCTTATCCGTATCTGGCTTTCATCTCTTCAGTTGTTTTAGAGATTTGGTCCCTTCCGTCTGATCTCGCTAAGAACAGCGCTATTCTTCCGATCTCGTGAAGGCACCCGATATGATTTGGAGAGTTGGCCAGGATAAATATGAGAAGTTCTAGTGATTTGCATGAACCTTGCTGTAATTACCAAAACTCCCACCTGCCAGCTCGTCAATTATCGCTCCGTCTACATAGTGCGCCCCACCCAAGGCCAACGTCGTCATCCAGGTTTGCGAAACCGAGATTCCGCCACATGCCGTGGCGACGCGCAGCCGGTGGGAAGGGAGGTAAGCGCTCCTGCATTTTCGCCCACATTGGTCTGAAGTGCGGCAGTTTAGTTGCCCATTGTCGCGTCTCTTGACCGGGACTGGTCACGCACGCGGGAAAGCTGGTAGATGTTATTCATCGTCATGCCCTCGTAGGCAGACAAATGCTTGCTTTCTCTCAAAGTGGTCCAGTGTGCTGTCTTGGTAGATTGTGTGTCTGGATATGGGCCGACCGACTCCTGGGCTTGGTCTCGAGCGGACATTTTCGATGAACAACGAGATCGATGAAGGAAGAGAAGGTTGTCGAGAAATGGATGGACAGGTAAGAAAATTTTGTGCTTACCTAGGTTATGCAAACACCCATGCCCTGGCGCAACACACCGAATGCAGCACCAGCAAGCCAGATTTAACTACCAAAAGATCCACACGGCGCTCACCAAAGACGTCCGGGGGCCATAAGAGAGCCCAAAGTAGGCAGGTGAGCCGTGTGAGGAAAGCAGCGAATGATGGAGAGGCAGCAGACAGCGGAGAGATGAAACGAAGAAGGGGGAGGAAGACCAGAGAGAAGAGAACGGTAGAGAAAGGGGAGGACCATAAAAAGAGGATGAGGCAAAGGAGAAGGGGGAAGCCGCACAAACCACCATCTGGCAAGCGTGCCGAGCTAAACCAACGTTCTTGATCTTATCGAGGTTGGCTCCCTGAAGAATATGTTTGCTGATGGGAGCCTGTATCGAAAACAACACTATTCTTGAAGTCCAGACAGAGGTCACGAAGACCGTCCTACGGGTGGTCGTAAGGAAATTCAGTGATAATGTCAGCCAGCTCCATAGGTACGTTTGTGAAGCCTAGGCACCGAGGGTGGTTCTTCTTAGGTATCTTACCTCCTGAGGCATGGTACATACATTTGTTCGCTCCCTAAATCACGACTGCGCTGCTTAGCTGCAACGATAACAGTCCTCCATCTCTTTTGAGTCGATGTTCAAGATGCCCAACAATACCTGTACTCACTTCAATTCCAAAGGCGTGAATGCCAGTGAGCTGGTAGGTCCAGCCGGATTCCGCTGCGGGACGCATCGAGGCTTTCCAAGGCCCGTAAAAGACGAGCGTCAAGGGATTATCGACGTATCCATCAAGATGGTCGAAGGCACCGGCAACTGCCGCGCTCATGAAGTCCTTCGTCCCTACAGCCCGCTGCAGCACTTGTTGGAGGCCATGAAAGCCCTTGTCACCACCGCCAATGGCGCCAACTATGTCTCGCGCTCCTCTCTGGTGCCCGTTTTCGGCTCCATTATTTAGATGGCCGGCAACCGCTGAGAGTTCCTTCCCCAAAATTGGAACGCTGTTATGGATCTCATTGACAAATCCCCTAGAGGTAAACATGAGTTCGACCGCGCCCTTAGAGGACCCACAGCATGCTGAAGGAGAGAGTTACTCTTGTAGATTTGGTAAGAGGGAGAGAAACAGAAACAGTAGGAACAAGTCAGATGCTAGATTCCTATAACCACAAATATCAACCACAGACACTCGCGTAATCGCATTGTCCCACGCGGTTATCCATCCGTGTGTACCTCTAGAGGTACCTAGACTACTAGGAAACAGAAGATACAGCAGCTACGAAACACTCGTTTCCCATTTGCCCGTGCGAGACAGTCAGTTCTCAGACTCGCCGTTAAGCAGAGCATGTCCCTCGGGAGAATTCACTTGAATTATACCCTTCCAACCAGGCCCAACATAGCGGCCATGATCGCGCTGGATATGGCTCCTGAGAGAGATACTGTCCTGGAATTGCTCCAAGCAGAGCATTCCTTGTGCGCCACCCAAAAGCGGCTCGGAGCAAAGAACGGGGTCCTCTTTAGCATGCCTATTTGGTTGTGATGTGTTGTTAGATAAGGTAGGTGATAAGATCGTCGCGTCATTGCCTCTGGAAGGTAGGTATGTTGGCTCTTGACCACGGGAATTTACCATCTATTGTGTTGGGTCCGATTTGATTGCCATTTCTCGCAGATGGCGCACCACACGTAGCGCCTCGGAGGCTGGGCAGCTGGGTTAAACTTGTCGAAGGCCCAGTTACCAGTGAGCCTTCAACGTACGGTATGTGTCAGTTCTTACGAGTCATACCAGGTTAGGGGAGAGAGCAGGGCTTGGGAGACTAACGGAGCGGTTGTGTCGTCTTGGGCTTCGCCAGCGTTGCTGTCATGAGCCGGAGCCAAAACATTAGAGGTGGCTCCCGAGCATTCTATGCCGTAAGAGCCACACTCATTGGTCACGCCACTCAAAGGACCATTGTCCCCAACATCGGCGTTCCTCGTCACAGTTTCAAGCTCATTGGCCACCTTCTGCTGCACTACCGCGGGGCTAGAATGTTGGTCAGCGTCTATAACTATGAAAACGGGCGGGCATCTCTGGGTCATATGGTATCAATCTCATGTGACTCACATCATGTCATGTTCAGAACTGTCAATTCCCTTGAACAACTCTGCATTGATTGCCTGGATGGCTTCTTCGACTGTTCTGAGACCGTAGTGTTAGAGCTGAATTGAAAATGATGGAATCTCGGAAGGATGTGTGAGTCGATGGTCTTACATGAATGGCATTTGAACAAGCTGTGACCAGAAGCGGGTTGACTGAAGTGGTAAGAGTCAAAGAAGAAATCTAGGCCAGAGCAGCCCTCAAATACTAGAGCAAAATTGCTGCTGGAGGGGAACCTGAGTGAAAAGGCCTCGAAGTTTATTGTTATATCAAGGCTGTATCAAGGTTGTAAGGTTCAACGAGTGGGGATGAAGATGCGGCATTCACCAGGTGATGCAGAGACGTACAGTAAGGTAATTCAGACCAATTCCTGGTTGTGAAGCAAGGTGAAATGAGCACCGCATGCGGATGAATGTAACAAAAAGAGAAAGAAGCTGGAAAGAAAGCCTAAAACCAAAAACCGAAAAGAAGAAAAAAAGGAAGGAAAGAAAGAAAGGAAAGAAAAAAAAAGAGAGGAACGAGAAACCACCGGGAGTGACTAGCTAGCCCTGTATAAAGTAGTTTCCATCTTCTAGATCCGTCACTGACCCGCCAGAGAAAACCCGGTCGTCATCAGTTGTTGAGGAATGGTGAGGCCTGCCAGTCGCTGCCACGCGGCAAACCGTAGCATTAACCTTGCTTTGACGTCCTTAACTGTTTGTTGTGAAGCGATCACCTGTCACTCATTGCTACCTGAATAGTTGCGTTTAACAAAGCAGCGACCCTTTGGCGCGGTTGTTGTTGTTGACTTGTTGGAGGTAGGTATCCATGAACCGACAAACTGACGTCTCCGGAGAGCAGAGCCGCGCGGCATTGGTTACCAGGGTTACCCATGCCCGCAGCTTACAAGGCTGTAGGTACCAGGCACAAGCTCCCCTACGGAGTACCGAAATACGCGAAGGGGTTGTCCCTGCTTGCTTGGTTTTGGTATGTCAGCTTAGCTTGTGTACTCGTCCTGCACAAGAAGAGATGAGTGCTCAATGAGCAAGAAGTTGAGTATATGACAAAAGGGGCTTTCCACCTTGGGAGTTGGTTCACCTCACTCACTCGATCCTTCACTCACCCAGCCACGTGGAGGGCATGTTCCTGTGCCCCTCTTTGAGATCTGGCAGCGACCTGACATAAGGTTGTTTAGTCATGGGTTGGGTGAAGTCGTGACGTGCGAAACCGGATGAACCTCCGGCCTGGCTGAGCTTGGGCCCCGGCGAGCTTTCAGATCGTCTTCTACTCCAATAGGACATCACCGAATGAACCGAGCCCGCACTCTTCGCATTACTCCTCGGATATTGCTCCGGGTAGCAGCGGTACGTATGGACCTAGGTTGCGGGGATGGCCAATGCTCATAGAAACCCCTCGTCGAGCGTATGGGTTGGGGTCGGTACGTTTGACGATCGGAAAGGCGGTCTTCTCAGGATCATCATCCGGCAAAGGTAGTCTCATGATAGAGCCGAGTCCATGCCTTCCGTCCTGTCAAGTCTCTGGTCTTCCATTCTGCGGTCCGGTTTTGAATTCCAACATCTGCTTTTGGTCCCAAATCCTGTCTGCGATCACAAGGCTTTGTCCAAGCCGCACACTATCACTCAAAGAACCCCTGATTCGAAATCCAGTTCCAGAACACTAAGTGAGACACTCGAGGTCAGCTGCGTGGGAGTGTTACACCCAAAGTCGGGCATTGTGCTGCGATCTCGCTCGAAGGTCTGGCCTTGACTTTTCGGGGAATGAGGCATGTCTCGGCTTGCACCAGGCAAATAACCACCCAGGCACCGCAAGCCAGAGCTGCTTCTCGGGATACACAAAGCCGAGATTGTGTGACCAATATCAGGACCCAATGGACTGGGTGAAGAAGCAGTAAAATGTGCATCAAGGCACAGCCAAGATGCCCTCATACTCTCATAGTTCTTGGCTCGCTGAAGAAGAGTGTCATAGAGGGAGAGAGACAACGTTCATGAGCAAGAATGCTGTGATCGTCCGTCCATAGGGTCCGATGACGTTGTATGCTCCTTGCAGCAAAGATCTTCCATGTGACGGAGTGGGGATCCGACGATCAGGCCGGACTGGGGTCCCGAAAGCTGGAATATAGAGAAGTGATCTGAGGATAACAACCGCTCGAGACTCCTGCCCACCGGATTGATTCGACGATCTTCAGGACCCTGAGTGTACGTCAATAATCTCGTGTAACAGGTCCATCTTCTGTCGCTCCCTCTTTGGTGAGTACTGAATCTCAGGGTTCAATCATCAGGATGATAGACGAGAGAGCACGAGCGCAAGAGTACTACCCTGACGATCACCAGAATCCATGATGATGGGTATCCAGGAGCAAGAGTGAAGGAAACGTGCTTTGAGTTTCCTTTCGGTGCTGTTGCTCTGACGTATGACTGGAAACGAAGCATAAAGGTCGAGTTGTACCGTCCTGACATGTTCGACGAGGTTAGAGACACAACCACAACCGACGCTGAGGCACATGGTATTCACGAAGAATCCCATGTTTCATCGAACCTAGAAACCTAAAACCTTGTACAATTCATCAGCGCCCTGACCCAGAATCATCAATCAAACAGTGGTAAGATCTTCTGTTCTGGTCCAAAGAACACCTCCAGGACTTACCAAACGATTTAAGTTGTTGACCTTTCACTCATAGTTGAAGTGCTCCTTCACTGAGAACAGCGGTGTATCTCTCTTCCTCGGACGCAAGTGTCTGTCTTTTTTGAAGACCCAGCAGTCCAGTCACCCTGGGGCTCGTGACCTAGACCTCCAACGTTACTCGGATTGAGTCAGCCTCCGGACCTTCGGTCCCGCAACTTTGCGCAACGTCACCAAGCCCGACATCTGATATCGAAGGACCCGTGACTCGATCCTGGGAAGGATATTCTCCGACGACGGGAAGCTCGACGGCTTATAGAAACCCCTCAAATACTGATCCTTGACGTTATCCTCTCCCCTACCACAACTACAAATACCGGTATTCCCGCGAACTGGAACAGCACCCGTTAGCCTGTATTCGAACAACTTCCTCAACTTTCTCATCGACAGCAACTTACCCGGCAACCGTTTTATGAGCCTGCTAGTGAAGAACGGAACATCCACGAATATCCATCATGCAGCTCACTTCTCTCCTTTCCGTCATTGTGGCCCTGGCCATGGCCCCCCTGGTTACCTTGGCCTCCCCGGCTGAGACTTTGGGCAACAGGGACTTCCCTGACCCAGCCATTACCTTTGACCCTCGAACTCACGAGTGGTACGCCTTTGCAACCAACAGCAACGGCAAAAACGTTCAGGCTGCCTACAGCCCTCGTCCCCTAGACGGTCCTTGGACATATGTCGAGCACGACCTTCTGCCCACTCCGGGCAAGTGGGTCAACCCCGACCAACACGACATCTGGGCCCCCGATGTACACTACTTCGAGGCCACCGACTCCTTTGTCATGTACTACTCGGGTCTTCTCGCCGATTCTCGTTACCACTGCGTTGGCATCGCCACGGCTGAGAACATCACTGGTCCGTACGAGGCTCTAGACGAGCCCTTTGCTTGCCCCGACTCCGAGGGTGGTGCCATTGATGCGAGTGGCTATGTCGACCCTATCGACGGCTCGTTCTTTGTCGTGTACAAGGTGGACGGTAGCTCCAAGGGGCCCGGCGGTCCTTGCGGCAATGGCGACCCTCCTGGCGAACCGACTCCGTTCCGTCTCCAGCGCGTCAACGAGAGCGATGGCATTACCCCCATTGGCCACTATACTGAGATCCTCGACCGTGATCCCGAGCTTGATGGACCACTGATTGAGGCCCCAAACCTCATCCGCACCTGGAACGGCACCTTCGTGCTGTTCTACTCGTCGCACTGCTACAACACACCAGAGTATGACGTCAAGTATGCAACGGCCGACAAGATCGAGGGACCGTACCATCGTCATGGCGAACTGATGAACACTACTTCCTTTGGATTCGACGGTCCCGGAGGAGCGAGCAGTGTCCGCGGCGGTGGAATCATGGTGTTCCATGCCAATTGCGATGCCGGCCGTTGCATGTATGTGACGGAGTTCGTAGTCGAGGGGGATGGTATCGTTACGCTTCTAGATTGATCTGTTTGCAAGGTTAATTAGAATATGGAATCGATGGAATGAGGGATACGGAGTTATTGGATAGAGCGTTGGCTTTTCGGATGCATACCACTCGAGTACTGGCGGTCCATTTTTCCTTCACAAATTTCGGTAGTTAGTGAAAGGCATGTCGTAAAATCGATAACATGATTTTCGTTGCACAACATGACGTTCGGTCGCAGCAGCAACTTCAATATGGTAATTTCCAGAGAAAAACCAGCACCTGTACTCATCCACGGTCGGAAGGCATCTCTGGGTTTGTGGTTGAGTCTGGTGATCTTGCTCTACGCCACTCCATCCCTTTCCAACGCAACATCGCGATGGCAGCGGCACCAAAGCTGCCACTCCATATGCCAATGATGGTGAAATACCATCCTCTGCCGGTAGCATCTAACAGTGGTTGCAAAATTGCTACGCCAGCAGCAGCCATTGCACAACGTGTGATGCTAGTCGCGGCCGCAGCGGTGCTTGGACTGCGAGGAAAGCTGTCCACGAGAAGCGTACTGTACGTGGTGTAGAAGAATGTGCCCCAGAAACCTTGAACGAATTGCATAACCAGAGGGATAGCAGGATGCACAGACCGGGACACAGCCCATCCATATCCGACTACCGTACAAGTCGAAATGATAAGCATCCAGAAGCTGCTCTTGGTTCTTGCTTTTTCGAGCGGGAAATGGAGAAGATCGTCACCTGTAACTTTGTTGACAGTGTGCCCGTTTTGAAACGCAATTATCTTGTAGTTGTAGTCCATAAGTTTGCCTGTGAAGTAGCTCCCTGAGATGATGCCAACCCCTCGAGGGAGGTATGCCAGTCCGATGTGCAATTCACTGAAACCGTAGATATCCTTGAAGATATCGGGAATTGCTGCTACCATTGAATAGTCCACGGTGTAGAAGGATCCATGCACCCAAAGCGTTAGAAAAGTGTCTTTGTAGAAGATCAGCCGGAAGCAGGCAATGATGTTACCCAGTCCATACCATCTGGATGTTGTTGTCGTGTTGGAAGCTGCGGCTGTACCGGTAGCTGGCCGTGACATCTTCTCGCATTGCCTCTGTGTCTTCTTTCTGCGGGCGAGCTGTCTCGTCGCCAAGCTCCACCAGCTGAGCTGCCACCATCTGAACGAGTCCCTGTCGTTGCCATTGCCAACCAGGCTTCTCGTGGTTTCTGGGAGGAATACACCGACAACGATGAACAGTATGACACCAACAATAACGAGTGCCCAGAAAACCCAAATATGGCTTCCGCTTGTGTAGGCAACAGCTCCTCCAACCACGGGTCCTACACAAGCGCCGAGGTTGAGAGCCATGCTGATGGGCCCGAGTATGCGGCCTCTCTCGCTGGGGAGACAGACATCGGCGACTACACCAAAGCTTATGGCATACGCAGCACTGGCACCAAGGCTTTGCAAGGCTCGAAGTGTGATGAGGGCGGGATAGCTGTCATTGTTGGCTGCGAGACCAATGTTTCCCACGACGTAGAGGGCCAATGTAAACAGAAAGAAGGGGCGCCGTCCATGGCTGTCGGAGAGAGGGCCGAAGATTACGGGAGAAATGGCCTGGAAAATGATGTAGACGGTCAGCGTCAGGTTGATGGCTTGGGCCGAGACTCGAAAGTGTTCTCTAAGAATAGGCAAAAGGGGGAAGTAGATGGTCGCGGTTAAGGGAGACGTGATGGTTGAAAGGCCCAGCAGAAGCTGGATCTGCCGTAACTGCGAGCGAGTAAACACGGAGTATTTCGAAAGGGAGGTACCGTTCTCGTCAGCCTCGTTCTTTTCGTTGGGGGTCCGTTTGGAAGTAGAATCGCCGAATTCTCCCATGGCTTGTACTAGTAGTATAGGGGAAAGAAAAGGCAACTGAAGGATGTTAGTGACAGACGGAAGGGAAACACGACGATGCTGTCGAAATTGAAGTGGTGGAAGTGGAAGTGGCAGCCCGTGCTCGTTTGAGTGACAAAGCGGGAAGCGGCTGTACATACCTTCTTCCCCTGAAGGGAGTATCTTTCAGCGGGGTAGTCCCTGGAACTTAGCAGTAGATAAGTGGGCCAGACGGCCCAGGAAGAAGCTCCCGCTCCCGCCCCCGTGATACGCCAACGGCTTCTGCCGTGCTGCCTGCCCGTGCGGGGTAGCGCTGACGTTCAGCGCTAACACAGGCCGGGGGCAACCACCGATACCGCAATCTGACCACAAGATTGGGTGGAAGTCATCAGGATAGAGGTAAGGTATGTTTGGAATATCTGTGGACAGTTGCGACTCCAACACGCTGATGGAAGAAAGGGTATAAATCTTTGTTATGTTCGTATCCCACCTCACAACTGAGCGCTTTTTCTGCACTTTCACCCTGACGCTATAATCCGTGAAGAAGACACACCAGTTGTGCTGTGATCAAGCGAATCCAAAAAGTCAATTTAGACTTTCGAGTGAGTCGACGTCTACCTTTCCCTTGTCAATCCTTCAGCCTGTCAACTCAATCTCTATGCTGCTCATTCCGAATCTGAATGCCCATCAGATCCCGCACCCAAGTTGTGGTTCTTCTCGGAGGGCAGCACAGCCATTTGGTCCTTTTCGATCTTCGGTGGCCCTTGATTCGGCTCGAACGAGGCGTACTTATCGATGAGATAGTACATGTCGGAATATGCTCTTTACAAAATAGAGTTAGTATCGACCACGAACCGATGTTTGCGAGATATGTCACTTACTGCTGTCTAACGGCGGTTCCTGATGTGGTGTGATTGACGGAATAGATCACGTTGTAGTAAATGCTGTAGAGGCGATTCCGATCCTCCCACTCCTTTCTGGGCTCGCTTCGTTTGTTGTACAGATTGTACGTGTCGGTGTTTGTTGTACAGATTGTACGTGTCGGTATAGATTGGATCGCTAATTTTGTTGTAGTTACAGCGCCAATCCGCGACGTCCATCTCGTGGTGGGCATAGAAGCAAGCCGCGTCAAAGACGTATATGTTGCCATTGTCGAGCGATGTCCCACAGTTTCCCTCCACAGTCGCCATGGATCAAGCCAGGCTTTAACACACGGCCGCCCTCTACGAGAGCGTCCAAAAGTCTTGGAACGACCTGCTCAACGAAACGCTTCCCGACAGTGTCCATGTCTTCCCAGTAGCCGTTGACGTCAAAGTCCTGGGAAATGACGTTCTGAAGGAGCTTGATGAAGAATGTCGTCCAGTTACTTTCCCACTGAACAAGTTGCGGCACGCGGCCCTGGCAAGTTGACACCTGGAAGCCGAACTTTCCCGTTGGAGATACACTTTCACGATGAAGGCGAGCTAACCTCGAACACAGGTTGTCAGGGTCCGGCATCCCTTCGTGCATCTCGATGTATTCGGCGAGGAAGAAGTATGCCTCAGGTTCCTTCGCATCGTATTTGCCCCAAACATGAGGTTTAGGCACAAAATCTGGAGCCCACTTGTAGAGTTCTGACATGGCGTTGAACTCTCCTTCCATCATGGTACGGCCGTGACTCCCTGGGGCAGACTTGATGAAATACCGGGTCTTGGTTCCATCGGGGAGGCTTAGGACAAGGCGAGCGGTGACTGTCCAAGCTGACTGCCCAAAGTGATGGGCAGATATAACCTTGGTACCGCTGGGAAATTTGTCGAGAACACTGGCGTCAACCCTGAAGTCCCCGATGTATGGAGGAGACACAACCTTTGATTGCTCAAGCAGAAGGGGGAGTTCCAAACTCATGATGGGTTCCTGGGGCTCTGTTCTGGGATTCACAATTGGACACAGAAGCGAAAAGAGGGTCAGAGATCACGCAGTTTGAACGACCGTGAACGAAAGTCAAGCAATTAGTAGTAAGTATATACGGGAACTCGATATTCACGGGGACATGTCTCACACGACCTTTTTGTAGACGATTAGCCACTCAGAGAGAGTACTGTCTGCGTCCCCTTGAACTCTCCATGTCTGCTCTCGCGGCTACTCACCCCTTACCCAACCACGTGCTGACACTACTATCACCCCTTGGCCTATTGCCCTGTGGCTGCAGATTAATATGGGAGGCTGGAACTAATTAGGGAAATGAGTGGCTACGACCAGCACTCCCGTCATTCCCCCGCAGCTTTGTGCAGAACCTGGGGATTGTTGAGTAGCATTCATAAGCGAATTGAGACATTCGAGGCGGGCTTCGCCTCAATTTGGGCCCGACGAGCGCGTATGCTCGGCACGAAGACGAAGATGATTGGAACGCCGGATTCCATTTGACACCTCGGTCTCTTTTCGCACATGTGTGGGATGGTGGGACGAGGCTCTGATGTTTAGGTATCCGGATGTGTGTCGGGGCTCGGGGTGTAAAAAGGCTAGTAACGTGTGCTTGCTCAGCCCGGTTGTTGAGGATCCACGAGGAAAGAACATTGGTGATCTTGTCATCATTCAACAACTGAACTGGAAAGTCCCCTCGCAAAAACTTGGATTCCAGTCCCGCGACGACCGTTTCACGGACCGAGGAATTGTGCAGGCGCACCTAACTAACCGTCCAGTCTGCTTGGGAAAAACCAATTCCCGTCTTGTCAACTACTTCGTTGTTCTTGCCCTTTAAATCACCAATGTCAGAGGTCAGCTCTAGGAAAGGACGCTAGGTGGTTCTCTCATGACTCTCCTTCCCTTTTCAAGACATACACCACTGTGGTCTCAAATTGGGTCCCGCTCCTCTCCAGCTTTGTCGGCGTCTGTCAAGGCTTCATCCGACTCATTCTTTCAGAAGCCTCTTCTCGCCTTTCCTTGCATTTTGTGGTAGTACCTAGTCCAATTCAACAACGCAGGCATATCTCGGCCCTGCACGATGCCAAACCTCGTAGGCCTTCACACTCCATTCCTTTAGCAAGGCACTCGGCGGAGACAGAACGTTGAGACCTGACGCTGATACATTTCAACCCAGTTCAAACGCCTCAGTCAACGTAGGCATAGCGAGGAGGACCGGAATCTACACCCTGAGAACGAAAGAGAACGAAGGTCATCTGACCCCCATCCGTCCCGAGCACGCCTACCATCATTATCATCATGGCGCATCCCAGGCAGCTTGAACAGTGCCGGCGCTGGAAGCAGGACAAACTCCACTCTGGACGCCCAAGCAGTAATACATTCGAGCACCATTCGCAGTCCCACGTCCGTTCCTTCTCATCGGAGCCCCTCCCCAAGACCAGATGGACTGGGCCTTCATATACTGCACCAGCCCGAATCTCCCACCCATGATCTCATCTTTGTGCATGGATTAGGGGGTCACAGTCAGTTGACATGGTCCAAGAACCATAACGTGGACTTGTTTTGGCCGGAACTATGGCTGCCAGAGGATCCTGACGTTGGTCGCGCTCGGATCTTCACATATGGCTACGACGCTAAATACCTCGGCGGGAACAAGAACACAAACAGCATCACAAACTTTGCCAAGGATCTCTTGTTCCAAATGCGCTGTGGCAAAGACACAAACGGGCAAGATCTCGACATTGGGCAGAACCCACTCACGTTCGTTGTACACAGTATGGGTGGTTTGGTCGTGAAGAAAGCCTATATGATGGGTTTCCATGACAAAGGATACAAGGACATCATTGCCGTAGTCTCGGCCATCATTTTTCTATCCACTCCCCATCGCGGTACAACCCTAGCGGACACTTTGGAGAACCTGTTGCAATACTCCTTCCAGGCAAAAAAAGAGTTCATATCGGATCTCAAGAAGAACTCTCCAGCAATCGACGAGATCAATGAGTCATTCCGGCATCTCGCCCCAAAGCTCTCCATCTACTCCTTCTACGAAACGTTGGAGACTACCATTGGGCCCAAGAAAGTCATGGTACTGGAGAAAGACTCGTCGGTCATGGGCTATTCAGATGAGGTTTCCATCCCCCTGACGGCAGATCATCACGACGTCTGCAAGTACGCCAGTCGTGAGGATCACAATTATAAGAGTGTTGTGAGCGCCATCAGGAAACTGGTCAAATTATTCCGCTCCAAATCCACGAACTCAGGATACACGTTTGCCAACGTCCAGGAACTTTTCCAAGTCACCATTACTTCCGACAGCGATTACGCCGGCCTCCGCACTGATTGGGCACGTGGGACTTGTCAGTGGCTTCTCAAAATGCCGGATGTTGTTACGTGGCTAGGCCATGGCCCTTCTGCAGGACCCCATGTGTTGTGGTATACAGCGCCTCCTGGAAGTGGAAAGTCCATGTTGTCGGCCTTCATGATTGACCACCTCCAAAATTCTCATCAGCTTTGCCATTTTTTCATCTTCCGACACTCTGTCATTGATAAGCGGTCAATCTTCAGCTGTCTCCGCGCCCTTGCGTTCCAGCTCGCTAGGGATGTTCCATCATTTCGAGACTCCTTGCTCCACTCATCTGCAGAGAACTTGGGGCTCAAATCGGGCGATCCTCGTGTCTTGTGGCAGAAAGTCTTCAAAAACATACTGCTCAAACAAACGTTGGACAGCACATTGTACTGGATCATCGACGGGATAGACGAGAGTGATTCTGCAAAAGACTTCTTGGAGTTTATTAAGAGTCTGACGACAGAGACCCCCTTACCCATTAGCATCATGATACTCAGCAGAATTACCAACACCATCTCATTGGAATTCGACCGACTTGCTCAAGAAGTCCCAGTCACTCGCATGAATATGACGGGTGACGAAAGATTGAGGCACGACATCGACCTGTTCGTCACGACGGAAATGCGCCACGTGGGTGGCAGCGTAAAGTTTAAAGAGATTCTTGCACAAAGAATTGTTACGCGGGCGAGCGGGAACTTTCTTTGGGCGAAGCTTGTCCTTGATGAGATCAGTCGGTGTGACACGGAGGATGACATCGAAGAGGTACTCGCAGCTATTCCTGATGGCATGTTCGAGCTTTACAAGCGGATGGAACGGAACCTGACAAACTCAACCAAAACGTCAAAAACACCGCTCATCAGGAAGATACTAGAGTGGGTAATTTGTGCGCAGAGACCATTGAGTGTTATGGAGCTTACAGCAGCACTCTCTCCGGAACGCTTCCTAGATTTAAGGAAAACAATCAGAGAAACATGTGGCCAGTTCATCCAGGTCGACGACACCGGCAGCATATCCATTTTACATCACACAGCTCGAGAGTATCTGATACAACCACGTCAAAGCGAACTCTTTGTGGACACAAAAAATGGCCACCAGAAACTGTTCAAAAGGTGCCTTGAAACACTACAAGCGGAGCCCCTTCGATGGCAATTGGTACAAAACGATGGAGCCTTGCAGTCTAACGAGCCGTTTATCTTCTATGCAGCTCTAAACTGGTCCTATCACCTTCGGCATAGCAAGCTGACTGCCCCCGATACACTGGACCACGTTTTAGTCTTCTTAAAGAGCCCTGGTGTTCTGTCATGGATTCATGCTTTGGCTCTTTTGCAGAAACTCGAGATCATGGTCAAGACCTCGAAGGTCCTAGCAACGTTTACTTCCATACTGAGGAAGCAAAATGAGTCTAAAAATCCTCTGCAACATCGCCTCCTCGACATCGACTTGCTCCATGAATGGTCAGTTGATCTACTGAAGATCATTGGCAAGTTTGGGAGAAGTCTTCTGACGGAACCAGAGTTGGCCTACGAAGTTATCCCTGCACTATGTCCCCCTCTGGCTGCGGTTCACAAACAGTTCCACAACCCGAAGCTCAGTCGGATGCGTGTTCTAGGCCAGGCAGACACAGGGTGGAATGACAATCTTGGCCGCTTGGCTCTCCCCAATCGGGCGCAAGGAAGTGCTATTGCTTGTGCTTCCAAATATATCGCTGTCCTATCTTCCGACCGCCGAGTTTATGTGTGGAACTCAAAAAGCTTCATTCAAGTTGCCGTCATATCACTGGATGAACACACTACAGCAATTGCGCTGAGCGAAAATGGGGAGAAGCTGGCTACATACGGGTGGAAGAGAACTAGGATCTGGTCTCTTCCCTCCGGTGCACTGCTCACAGCCACGAATACCCCAGAAGATACAAGAGCCAAGTGTCTTGTTTTTGCCGATAAAGACCAAAAGCTGTTGGTAGCGGGGGACGACAACCTAATAAGGCACATAGAGTGTGGAAACTTTGGATCCGGTTGGGAAGTCCTTAGCTCAGCGCCGCTGAAAGACACTGGAGTGGAGGGAGCCATTGTTACCTCACCGAGGTTCGCAGCCTTTAGTCCAAACCAAACGCATGTTGCTGTGTCATATCGCAGTGCACCGCTTGCAGTCTGGAGGTTGCATGATGGGAGATGCATCGGGATATGCAAGCGAACTATACCTGCCGCTACCGACGTTAGGCTCTCACGATCATCCAAGAGCTGGAATTCCGTTGATCGCTTTGTGTGGAATCCCGTGACGGGTCACATTGTCGGGGTGTACAAAGATGGGTGTGTTTTCAAGTGGCATCCTCTGATGGGTGATCCGGTTGAGGTCCAGAAGGCTGCAGATGAGATTGCTATAAGCCCGGACGGGAAGCTATTTGCAACTAGCACCAGCAAAGGCACTGTTTACATTTGGAGCTTTCATCATTTCACGGTTCTCTACGAGCTTTCATCAACAGAGGTTGTTACCCAGCTGATTTTCAGCCCAGATAGCCGCCGTTTTTATGATCTTCGCTGGGGTTCAGTCAATGCCTGGGAGCCAAACATCCTCACTCGCTTTTTGGACCACGACGAACAATACACGAGCGATTCAAACAGCGAGGATGCCTCTTCAACCATGTTTGATAAGGTCTCATTGAAGTTGAACTCACGATTCACATCTGTCACCACCTTTGCACCGTCCCGAGATGGAAAGGCCTACTGTGTTGGTTACAAAAATGGTCAAGTGTTGATGTTCAACCGTGGGGATCGGGACGGAATCGAGATTGCAAGCCCGGATGATTACGCTCATATAGTTGACATTCGGTGGAGTCATGATGGTCGCGACATTGCCATAGTTGATGCAGACAGTACCGTACATGTCAGGTCTGTCGAATCGGCTAATGTTGTGTTCGCATCCGCTCCGCGTAACCTTCCGGTTGAACTTGACACCTTCAAAGTTCACGATATCCTATTCAACCACGACTCTCGACTTATTCTCGTGTCCACAGAAGATAAAGCATACGTGTGCTCTATCACAGGCAATGCACTACAAGCAAGCATAGACCTTGAGCATGGAAGTGATTGTAAGTGGATTCGCCATCCACGGAGACCCGGTACCGTCCTACGAGTTGGGCCGACTGGGTGTTGGGAACACGACTGGGAAACACTTGAGCTATTATCAACCCTCATTTACCTTCAAGACGATGACAGCGAAGATTCCAGATTTCCAACAGAAACATCACCAATACGGGATATTCCAACCAGTCCAAGAGCGCAACCAACCTGCAGAGTTGTCAACACTTTTCTTGCCCAAACCGAGGAGCACATACTCGTTCACGTACGAGATGAAGGCGACAAAACGAGGCGGGATGATGTAATCCTAATTGCTGTTGATGCTTTAGGGTCAGGGACATCAATCGGCTTACGTCGACAGCTGGTCAGAGTACAACATGTCCACCAAGATGTTATGAACCAGATGTCATCACTTCTCGGTATCTTGCCGGGGCGGAGGTTTGTGATACTTGATCATGACCTCTGGCTCCGGGTTTACGCACTCGATTCGGTGTTTCACGCCGACGATCTGGTTATGAGTCGATCCGAGCAGCCGTACCAAATTCCACGGGACTGGGCGGGAAACATTTGCGGTGTCAGTCATTGCCAACTTGCAAAGGATTTCACTCTATTCTGGCCCAAGGATGATCAGGTAGTGCTCATTCAATATGACTCGGATGGAACAGGGTTGTCTTGAGGATCGGGTTAGCGGCTAACAGAACACCTTCCACCAAATCGCAATGTCTTCCCCGGTACATGAGGATACAGATCCTACATAGGTGCTGCGCCTAGAACATGTTAAAACACTTATTAATCCCCTCCCAATCAGGATGTTCCTCCTTCCCCCTCACCATCTCTGCCGCCCAACTTCCCCTCGGCGCCTTTCTTGCTTCCTTCAGCGCCTGCCTCACCACCGCATCCCCAAGCTGCTTCTTGATCTCCAACCTCGGCAGCTGCCACCGCAGCAGATTCGCCGACGTAGCTCCTCCTGGCAGACTATCAGCCAGCGGAACCGTACAAAAGCCCAAATCCGCCCTTTTGGCAAACCTGAGCGCACGCACCGCACCGCTCATTCGCTCCGCAATAGTCGGGTTGGTGTGAAGACTAATAGCCAGCCAAGCCTCGCGGACCGCCAGGGCCGGGACGTTGTGACTGCGTAGCAAGCGGGCAGCCACGTCCGCCCCTATGACCTCGAAGCGCTCAGCGATGGTATCGTAGTCGCGTGCTACGCCTATGGCGTGAAGAATACAGGCGACGAATAGGACGTGCGGCGGACAGATGGCGGCGTATTCTCCGGATGAAGGGCTGATGCGTGCTATACCCGGGAAGCTGGGCAGCAGGGAAGGGTCGGCTGGGTCGTTCAGAGGGGTGATGCGCATGAAGGCTTGGGCGTACATGTAGACGCGGAAGCTGTGGTAGAGGATCGTGGCGGGGAGATGGGAGCGGGCGAGGGCGAGGGCGTCGGCGCAGACGGGGTGGGATGGCATTAGGGCGCGGAGGGCGGCGGTTATGGTGCCTGGGTCGGATATCGAGGGCAATGATACGGCACCGGAACAGGTAACAGGACCGGAGCCGGTGCCGGTGGAGGTGGTGGAGGCGGAGTTGTTGGACGTTCGGCTGCCCATGGTGCAATGGCGGCGACAGTGGTGGTCACTGATCGTTGATTTTGATCACGGTAGGGGAGGAGACTGCGGTTCTTAGAACAGAACTACCATAGAGAATGGGGGTTAAGCTCTGAGGGGTCCATTGCTCGAGCTGATTTGGGCTTGTCTGCACTGCACATTTTGGGAGGTTGTCGGCGGCTGCAAGCCTGCAATGCAATGCATGAAGCTATCCGCGTCGGTCAACTCAACAGAACCCATTGGCAGCACCCACAGACACCGCGAAACCAGATGGCTCAACCCGTGCTCCCGTCGTGTTGCGCTCCTGATCTCGCTGGGAACTCACCACCGGGTTGAGTGTTTGATGCCTAGACTCCAGTTATTTATGTTGTTCTACCGGGAAGCAACTTTTGGATGATAAACCTGCGCACCAGACCCCGTACAGCTCAAGGGTACGCCGTCGAGTACACCGGGCCGAGACACTCGAACATAATCTTGAAACCCTTCATTTTAAATGATACTTGTCCTATTGGTTCAAGACTCTCATCATCGCACAGCCCTCTGGTAAGGCCACAGCCATTTAGGCCGGTAAGAGTCAAAAGCGTGGGTGACATACGTCAGTCCGAGTACCTACTCAACCTTCTTTTCCCGGAGTGGCAAAGGCCAGGAAATGACGCTTGTCTCCACGAGATTCCACGCTGGAAGAGGAGGGCTGATAGGTGTGGAGACTGGAGAGAAAACCCTTGAGACCAAGTATCCTCTTGACATGATCAGGCAGACATGTAATCGGGTGTGATTCCTACATCACCTCGATGACTGAACCTCGGAAGCTGGCCTATATACACGGTGACGCATTGAGGTAAGTCCTTTATCACGACGGGATTCCAATACAATCTGATGCTGGGTGGTTGGTCAGCTCGGATGCCCGCTAGGGTAGGTAGGTTGCACTGAAACCCCAAATAGGAAGGATGTTCCTTAAAGCTGACATGCTGACGCGGAGAGTACGCGGACTTTACATGTCAGTTGAATTGCCGTCTCTGACGACAAATAAATACCTACCCCCAATGTTCCTGACATTTGACGACCTGTAGCACTCATCAGCAATAACATCAGTGCCGGGAAAGGCGACTAAAAGCCCTCCACTCAAACATCACAACCAATTTCTCCAAGCAACGACACCAAGACTTCAAAATGTCATCAACAACCCTCCCACCCCGCTACCAAATCCGCAAGCTCACCCTCTCCGACCTCCCCTTCGCCCACGCCATCATCACCCACGCCAACCTCTTCCACAACGCCGTCTGGGCGCGCCTGCACGCCTCCGACGCCGTCGAGCGCTCCTACCGCGTCTTCAATACGGGCGCATACAACACCTCGCACGGCATCGAGTCCGGTTTTTCGTATGGCATCTTCGACACCGAGTACCAATACAAGCGTCCCGAGTCCGCCGCCACCAACGGCGCAGTCTACTGGGACCCCGAGCTGTACCCGGCCTCTTCCGGGAAGGACCTGCTCGAACAAATGGATTTCCCTCTCGTGTCAGTAGCGCTAGCGTACGACCCCGTCGCTACACCTTTTGACCCGGTCAAATTCCAGCCTGTCTTTGATGCGTTGCCGCTTTTCCCGAAGCTGGTTAGTATCACGGAAGCAAATGATATTCGCCCGCCTGAGGAGCGCAAGCCTAAGCAAGTGGGTGAGTGTCTGTTTAGGTGCGGGACGGCGACGAGGGCGGATTATGAAGGAAAGGGGCTGGCGAGGGCATTGGCGGCGCATTTGATGAGTGAGGCGAAGAAGGCCGGGTTCAAGGCCACGCAGGTCGGGACGGTGAATAATCGACTCAACGAAATTTGGGAGAGGGTGCCTGGCCAAACGGGGGTGGGAGTGGACGGAGCGAAGAGTAGGGTGGTTAGCGTGGTGGATTTGGAAAGGTATGAGGAGGAAGAAGTCGGGGAGGATGGAGTGGTGAGGAAGGTGAATCCGTTTATGGGGGCCAAGGTGTTGAGGAAGTGTATCTATGTTACTCTTTGAGGAAGGAGAAAGGAGGAAATGTATGGAAAAGGGGGGAGGAAGAAAGGAAGGAAAGAGTAGGCGGGTGGAAGATGGTGGATAGGTTCGCCCTTACCTTGCCCTGCCGGGCATTGCGGAGGACGGGAGATGAATTTGCGATTTGGGAAGAAAAGAGTAATCGATTGTAGGGTTTCCCGGGTCGAAGGCCATGTAACACACTGCACCAGGAGCACTGAAGGGTTTTACCTGGATTCTTCGTGGTGATTCTTTGCCATTCTTTTCTCAATGATATGAGACCGAATTTGTCGACCCTGTCTGTGGTCGATCTCCAGGCGTTTGGGGTACGATTGCGAATGCAGACTGGCTAGCCTGTCGGTTTAGATCCCCTTTGAACTATGAAGCTGAGTACTGCACATGATGGTTAACAACCAGTACTGATTATCAACATTCGACAGTAATCTACATACATGGAAGAAGAGCAATGAGGATGATGTGTTGAGTCCAGCACCAGATACACTCGAACAGATATCGCCCTGCTTCCCGTATCACGCCAAACTTTAGCCAGATGCCGAGTGACGATAGCTGACAGGTGATGTGCAACACCAGAAAGCGATGTGCAGAGCAATCTCTCCATCAGTCACCGTGTCGGTCCGTCGGACATGACAGCTCCAACAATGACATTGTCGATACTCGTACAAAACTTGCCCAAAGTAGGGTGACAAACTTCGATCACCAGGAAGACACTCTTGGCTTCCAGGCCCAGATTGGTTCCCTGTTGTCGGATCAGGTAGATATCTCCAACACATACTCCTTACCAGATTACAAGTTCTGCATGTGAACCTGCCTCACCAGCTGGTTGATCTCCCCCGGCTGGAATTCCGGCTGATACCTTCCCGCATGGCCCAAATCCTCAGCCGGAATCGGCGCCGGGTATTCCGGTCCCTGTTGTTCTGCGTGTGCCTCCGCTCCCCCTTTTCATCAGCACCAGTAGTACCGACAGTATTCATGCTCCTCGCAAACTCCTGATAAGCCTTCCTCGCCTCGTTCCTATCCTCCTCCCTAAACCTCTCCACCATCCCCTCTACCACCCTCTCCACTTCCTCCTTTCCTCCCCTCCACCACTCCAACAGCCTTTTCTCCGCCTTAGCCAACCTCGTGTTAACCTCATGTACATCCCCCATTACAGTCCCCATGCCCGAGACCTTCTCCTCTCTACACTCCGTACAAACCATCGGCACCGCTCTCTCCGTCTGCACCTTCTCCCTAGCTTGCCTCTGCAATCCCATCAAAAACTTCATCCGCTCACCTCAAAGTGTCCTGACCTCAGCGCACGGAACCAAGCACCCAGGAACCCCATCCTGTTCCAAGCTGCGTCGCTCATCTCGGGCGTGGCCATGGCACGCAAGAGCGGGGTATCCATGCGTCGCCAGAGGTCGTTGTCGTCTTTTTCTACGCCCTGACTGTTGCCATCGTCGGAAGAGGACTGGGCGAAGGACTCGATGAACTCGCGGATCGACATGCCGAGGGCCATTTGCTTGAGGGAGAGCATGTTTTGGGGAGCTTCGGCGTCGGAGAGGCCGGCGTGAAAGGAATTCGGGGAGATGCGGCGGAGGTCGGTGGAGAGGACGTGTTTGCAGAGTGTGGGGGGGTGAGGGATAAGCCTCCGGGGGAAGATTCGTTAGGGGTAGAAAAGCTGCTGCTGTTGCCACCGCCGCCGCCGCCGCCACCGCTTTCGCGGATGTGGTCGCGGATGGCGGTTAGGCGGCGTGTGGTGACTTGGGTTTGTAAATTGCTGGTTTGCATGAGCATATTGCTGTCGGGTCCGTAGATCTCGTTCCAGGTGAGCGCGTGGTCAAGCGCGACATGTTGGTGATGGGATTCCGTAAGTTGAGGGGGGATGTCCAGGTGTAGCTCGATGGAGGTAAGAAGCTCGGCTTGGGATTGCTGGGTGTTCAGCGAGGATTCGATGTGCGACAGATACTGGTCTGCGCGATCTTGGAGCTCAAGGAAGGCGGCGATGAGCTGGCTTTTGCTCATGGTGAGCAAATCGGCGCGCTCGTGATGCGGTTCGCGAGGGACCTCATCCACCTCGGAGTCGAAGTCGTGCGACGATAGCAAGTGCTGTGTCTCAGGTGGGAGAGGCATCTTTGCGAGGTTATGGCGCGATAAACGTCGTCTTGAACGTCAGTTGCAAAGCTCTGCGCGGGGTAGCGGTGATACCAGGCGAATGATGGACGGGAGGGACAAGTTGTTGGCCAGCGCAGAATGAGCGAAAGGGAATTCGCTAAGACGCTGGTTTGCTTGTTGGCTTGTCACCTTGTTGGCGCGTTGGTTTGTTGAAGGCGGTAGGGGTAGCTTCAAGGGAGATGGATTGCAACTTGTAGCATCCACATTGCACCCGGCTTCCAGGTTGCGCCGACAGACAACAAGTGAATTGTAGAGTTGAATGAAGGTACGCGAAAGAATATAGGACGGGAAACGCGCAAAGCCTCCCGGTACTGTAAGTAACGGTTCCCAGATACCAGCACACGGGCATATTAGTCGAATCGTGGAAGGCACACCCGCCATTCACCACTCACCATTCACCAAACATCCACGGCGACGACCAGCAGCTTATCTCACAAACCCAGACCTCTTTTGCGGCATCATGTCTTGCAGCGCTCCAAACCACACCGAAAACCAACGCACCGCCTGATCCTCAGACTGATCTCCCCTCTCCTTCTGCAACGGATCATCCCGATCTCCTCTCACAGCAAACCCGTGCTTCGCTCCCGGATACACCACAACCTCATGCATATCCGCTCCCTGTGTCTCCTTCGACGCCGTACGGTTCTTCTCTTCCAGAATCCTCATCACCTCCTTCATCTTCTGCTCCCCCATAAAAGAATCATTCTCTCCGTTCGCCAAGCTGAGCGGCAGCTGTACCTCTTGGATATGCCTCGGCAACTTGAGCATCGACGGATGGGCAGTAAACGCGCAGTCAATCAGCGAGACCTTCTTTCCACATTCCAAAGTAACCCAGTTATCGGGATTCTGAGTGTTGGTAAGACCAACAGCATAAAGTCCACCCCAACAGAATCCAGCAACGCCGACCTTGGGAGGCGTGCCATTCGCCGTCGGGGTCGACCGCACAGCGGAGATGAAGGACCGCACGCGCGGCCAACAGACAGATGGACGGGTACGATAAAGCCAGAGGAGGAAAATGGGGACGACTTTCATGATGTTCCATGTTCGGCTCAGGATGCGGAATATCCAGGGAGAGTTGGGGTCGGGCTTCGCGTCGAACGAGGCCATCTGCGAGAGAGGGATGGCTTTGCCGTCCATGAAGTCAGGGACGTACACAATGCAAGGAACACGTTTTGCGTATGCATCGGCGAGGGCTCGGGTGTTGCGGAGGGACCAGCCGAAGGCATCGGTGATGAGGACTACTGTGCCTAGCGGTTTAACATGCCCCTCCGGAGCCGCGACGTATGTGGGAAGTCCGTGGATGACATCCTCGTGGCCGGTGGGGATGACGTCGCCGCGGAGGGTTCCTTTGAAGCAATCGACACAGACGGGGAGGGACATCTTGAGTGGATGATCAATGCATGTGGTAGGAGGGGGGAGAGGATGAGATGCTTTCTTAACGATTGGTGTTTTCCTTGTCTTCAGGATGTCGTGTCGATGAACTGAAATTGGTGTTGAGGCCGAAAGCGGGGAAAACGCCAATCCAATGGTGCGGCGTTCAGTGCCTAACCACTAACAATTACGCCCCAAGCCACTCCCGTGTCTGCAGAGTCAACCGCTATCTTACCTATGCCACTGCGCCTCACCCGGGCCGCAACCTCAACACACTCGGCGATACCTTAGGGGGTCGGCATGTCCCGTCCCCTCCCCCGCATCTTCTTCCCGTCTGGTCCCCGTCGTCATCCGCCCCTCCATTACAATTCGGATATTGCCCTGTCGTCGAGCTTATCGTCGTCATCCATCAAGACAAAGTCCATGACGCGAACCTTCACTGAAGGGTGGTGCTTTTATCGTTGGAATAAGGCAGCCGGAATCGATCACCAGACCCAAGAAACGAGAAAAAGCTTCGCTTACCTGCATGCTTTCCATTGCGGAGCCGAGACATCTACCTATACATGTCTCTTTTGGAATTTCCACGTTGTACGAAGTCCCTGTCTTGCTTGCACTTGACTGACAGGTCGCACGGAAAAATGTGTGTCTGCTGTCTGGTACAGGCAGCGAGAGACATGTTGGGTACATAACCATTAGTCTTGGACTTTTGGTAGGTACAGTACATGCAATGGACAAGGATATCGGAATAAAAGGCCAGCCATTGATATACGATGGAAGCATTGTCAGCTCAAAGATGCAGATTCGAGGATTGGGCAGTCGCAAAGATTCCATGCTATGTACACAAGCAATGGCAATGAAGAAAGATATTAGGTCCAAAAGCAATGTATATAGGTAGGCTATGCGTGTGTGCGCTCGCTGGTGGATGACTCAGCATTAATAACCATAACGACAGTCCAAAGGGCGCCCTCTCTCTCTCTCTCTCTCTCTCATCTAACTCTCTCCTTTGCTCCACGTGATCATGATCGCATTCAGTTCCAGTTCCAGTTCACCAACCCATCAACCCAGCACAGTGCCTCTAGGTGCAAGCAGTGCAAGTGCGGCACGAGATGTAATGAGCCGCGTGACCAGCGTCCTGGCCGCCGTTGTAGTTGTACAAGTTGCTCTCGCCAGGGTTGGTTAGGATGGCCAGGCCTGAGCCGGTGCAGTCTCCGTTGCTATTGTTGAAAGTCAACATGTTAGCATCGATTGATGTCTTTGATGTTACACATGTCTAGGAAGAGAAAGAAGGATGGAGACATACGCAAAGAGACGGCAGATAGCGCCAGCGTCGGGGCCAGCAGAGCCAATGTGGCCGTTATAGGCCGAGGGAAGCGGGGTGCAAGTGCCGCTGGTGCCGAGGGTCAGGACCTCGCAGGTGTTTTGCCAGTTGGAGCCGGTGCAGACGTAAACCTAGAGTGAGAAATGGTTAGTAAGTGATGTTTGATCGGGAGACGAAGGGAAGGGGAAGGGACTAACATTGCCGGGAGTGCGAGCGACCAGAGCAGGGTGCTCACCCGAGGCGGGCACGGCAAGGACGGGGGAGAGAACGGAGAGGAGGGAGATGGTAATGGCAAGGACGGACTGCATTTTGGCGGTTGTTGGTTGGTTTTGGATGAGACGTCGAAAGTCGAGAAGAGATGTTGAGGAATGAGTCTTGAGAGAGTTGAGTAGATGATGTTGTAATAAAGGCTGTTGATGTTGTGATGAGTGAGATATATGCTTTGATGAAGGGAATCTGTTGATCTTTATACTCGGAAAGCTAGGTCAATGCCTCTTAGTCTTCCCCAACATCACAAAGCTATCGTCAGCTAAACATAGCTACGATGTCCACGACACGAAGGATCACTCATCAACCGTACCATCTCCGCTACCTTTCCCACTGCATAGCTTCCGCCACAGTCGTCATGTTGGTTATGACCCCAACGGAGACTCCAAAAGTGTGCCGGATCGGGATGGTAGCACGATCTCACATTCGGCTACAAACTGCAATGACATGCAAAAGTGAAGCAGCTTGCTGACGATATGGTCCACGTCCGTGGAGCATACGAACCGATGATACCTCCCGTCGTAACTCGTACTGCACGCTTACTCAGTCAACAAACGTTTTAGTTTGCTAGGCCAGGAGCGGGTTAGTGATTTCTTTCAGGACCCTGTAGATCAGAAGACCAACGGATTGTCCTGCGCTCTGGCAGACGATACTCTGCGTTGCTCTGGTATGTAGACTAAAGTTTCGAAAAGGGTTGTTTTTAGTGACATTGTAAGGTGGATGAATAATGTCTTTTCCATTGTAGCTTTGTGAGGTGCCCCCTTTTTTTTTTTTAGCCGGAAACCCAAAGGACCCATGGGAGCGTATCCCGCCCCAGCCACGATTTCGATTGTTACACGGATGGAACACGAGGTTACTAAGCCGTCCTTTCGTGTTGTGGCTAGTCGTATATCAACAACCGCTATCATTGGTGGGTATGAGCGAATGGCAAACACCAACAGATACTGAATTCCCAAAAGGCACCCACGAGCCGACGACACCAACAATAGTTAGTGAGAGCCAGCGGATCGTGTCTCGACATTGGAAGATAGATCTGAGGCAACAGCTATTTGCCATCCGAGATCAACGAGCTCCTTGATCGGCCCGGGAGTGTACCGAGCAGAAGTGGAAGGAAATAAGCAAGGAAAAGAAGCTGAGCCCTGAACGGGACAGAAGTGTGTGGGTATCATATCGCTGTCTAGCGCTGACTAGAACCCGGAATTCTAGGAAGCACGGTCTGAACATAGCGGGTGGCGGAAGGATTCAACCCCTTCATCTGATCTTCATGTTGCTGACTAGTGCACTTCAATAGTCCTCTCTCTTTGCGGTCAACATAGCGAGGGACAGGATACCTTACTAAGCCACAAGAAAAGGAGGATCATGGAGGTGGGTTTCTCCCGCCGTATCAACTACCATGACCTTGAGGGGGCTGCTTGAGAAATTCCATCGTTGCTTCGCCTAACGCCCTATTGACCGAGTTGCGACTTGAAATCCTCCCAGTCAACAATAGTCAAGACATGCGAAATCTTTCCCTGCTCGAGCCAGTAAATGGCATGCTCAGCGAAATGCACCCGACGCCCATTGGGCATAGCACCACCAAATGGCTTGACGGGTAGCCCAGCAAACTCGATACGGACGGCAATCTGCTGCTTTGCCTCGTCAATGAGGACAGTCCGAGGAACAAACTGGAGGCCATCAATAGCGTCAAACGCGTTCTCCATCAGCTGACCATAGTTTTTTTAGAGCCATCTCAGCACCATTCCAGACCACGGTCCCCTTGCAGAATTGGTGCAAGTCTTGTTGTATTCTTTTTTCGTTGATACAGGCGATGTAGTCCTCGTAGAACTGCCTCAGGTCGATGGAAGAAGGGGGCGGTGGAGGCCTGAAGTTGGGAACTGGCACAATGTTGGCCGATTGCCGGCGCTTCTCGTCTCCGTCCACAATGTCTTGAATCTCGCTAATCTTTCCATCGCTGAAGTAGACGAACATGTGTCGCGTGTATTCCGTCTGCCTCCTTTGTGACGAGGCTGTGTAGGGCCGTTGTACAACAATGTCCTTGACTTTCAGCCTCGCTGCCACGGCTTCGCCCTCTTCGGGCGTTCCGGCAACTAGAGTGACGATCTCCATTTGGGTATTGGATCTGCGCGAGAACTCCTCCTTGAAGGATTCTACAAGATGGTACAATGAGATGTCTTCCTTGTTGTACGTGATGGTACTGTGGACTTCATCGCTAAGGAAGCTCCATTGATGGCGGTTAATGCGGTCAATGAGAGATCTAAAGCGGAGTTTGTTATCGACTTCGGTTGGCAGATTCAGCGTGATGGTAGTTTCCGAATCGAAGGACGAACTTCCCATGGGTAGGGAATGAGAATCCGAGAACGAGGGAGTTTTGAACTCGGACGTGCCCAACTCTTCCATCATTCTCGCGCGTCTGACGGCAGCCTCGTTGAGCTCTGACATGCCAAGAAAAGAACCGTGGAAGACAGGATCCCGAAGTGGTTCGTCTTGACGGAAGGTTAGAGTGGTAGAGGGAATGTGCGAACGCAGCAACAGATGATTGCTGTTCGACTGGGAAGGTTGCGATGACTCAGATTCCTCATCACGCGCCGGCAATAGCGCGTCTTCTTCCTGGCTGGTCGAGAGGGAGGAGCGCGGGATGGAGGACAGAGCTGCTTGTCCAGATGCTGGTTCGTCCAACAGCGAGGGATCTTCTGAGGCGTATGAGGAGGACATGGTGGCCGGAGTTTCTTGGTGCGTGTGGTGTGAAAGGTCCAAAATTGAAAGGTGAGAGATCAGGAATCGGGGGACAAGGATGGGAGCTCTGAGTGACACGTCCAAGCAAGTGAAAGACGAGACAAAGAACGATGAGGACGGCATGAGTGGACCAAGTGGACCCCGCTGCTGTCGCGCCTTCACGTGATGAATAAGATAAACGATAAGGAGCAGCGCGGGGGCCCCGGAGCCGGACCACCAGTTCGACTGTCCGCCGCGGCCCCACTTCACTCCAGTGTCACGACCCCACCATTGACGTTCCCTGTTTCCTTCCTCCTCCCTCACACCAACTTTCACTGTTTCACTTTCCGCAATCTTCCACTTTCACTTCCACTTCTTCACACGATTTTTTTTCCTTTTTTTGCTGAAGGCAACCTTGCAATCTAGTTCTCCCCTTCTCCTCATTTTCCCCGGGAATCTTGCCGTCAATTGACACCTTTCATCTCCGATCGGACCTACAATTGACATGACAGTACAAGTACACTGACTGCATCGACGCCCTTGACACACTGACACACTCCTCATGCCAGTTACACCGTCTCGCTGCTGAAGCTCAGCCATGGAATCGCCGGGACAACGGCATCGGAACACAAACACGATGTCCGCACTCTTCGGCGACGTCGACTGCCGTGGCAAAACGTCAAAATCTGGTCCTACGCAAGACGGCATTGTTATGGACACACGCCGTGAGTACCACGGTATCACCAAGTCACGGCAGCGTTCCAGTGCGACGGTGACATCTTCTGTCATTATGAGGGTGGCACGAAGTATCTCTACTGCATGTGCCCCAAGACGCGCGAGTAACACGCCAACTACAGACCAACGGAAAGCGAAAAGGAACCAGAGTCATGATGCCTCTCTGCTGTCAACCGACCCCTGACAGCAGCTTGAATACAGACAATAAGCCGCGATGACAGCAACAGACAAACGAGAACAAGATTTGACAGGACAATGTTCGATCGAGCCAAAAGGAAGATGAAAAAAAAACAACAACAAAAAAAACAGCGTCTCGCAAGACTTTTGCCCATCCATCCGCTATGATGTTATTCGACAAATTGGCAGCCATTCTAACACCAAACGCCATTGAACCACCCCAGCGCATGATCATAAGAGGGATATATGACAGAAAGAAAGTAAAGGACAAGCGTTGGACCTGGGTATAGTGTATTTGTCTCATCACCATCGTGTACTGACCCTCCATCTCCTTCTCCCCCTTTTTTTTTCCCCCATGTGGCTGTTTAGTACCCTTCCATCCTCCATCATCTCGTCTTTTTCAACCCGCATATGCCTCATCTTCTATCTCTCAAGCAATGTTGGTGTCCTTCCAACTAATTACCTCTCGTGTAACCTCCGCGGACTCGACCTTGTGCTTCAGGTCAAAGTCGCTATCGAGGCCCCTCCTCAGTTTCACCTGTCTCTCCAGCAGCGTGACCAGCAAGCCGGCCCCTGCGAGACCCAGAAAGATGATCCACGGTGCCCTTAACCCGAGGGCGAACAGTGACACGATCTGGGCTTTGACCTCCTCCCCAAAGCTGCTGACGAACTGGGCCGAAGCGTGCTCGTATGCTCTTCCCCGCGTCAGCGCCTCCCGTGCCTCTCCGTTGGTAATGGTGTGCAGGAGAGCTGTTACTTGGGCATTGAAGGCGGCATTGGGGACAGCAACGCCAAGGAGCGACCCAAGTCCACGAAGAAACGCCCATGATCCGGTTGCCGCCGCGTTCTCCTTGTCTGTGAGCTCTACCAGCACGCTGGGAAGCGTCGTCGACACAATGATTCCGGATCCGATGCCGACAAGGAAGGAGAACACGATCCACTCCACCACGTCGGCTGTCTCGGCATAGGCGACGCAGCATGCGAATCCAGCCAACATGAGAAAAAACCCGACTTGGTGCATGAGCCGATAGCGGCCAAACTTTGCCAGTAACGGTCCACCGACGGCGGACAGCACCACAATTGTCAAAGTGCAGGGCAGGATGAGAACGCCCGACTTGGTAGGAGAGGCGTTCTGCACAGCCTGGAAGAACGGTGGCAAGTAGAACTGGTACCCATATGTTAGGAATCCATGGATGATGGTGACGACGAATCCGGCAACGGTCGTGCGGTTGGAGAAGATGTGTGGAGGCATGATGGGGTGCTCGCACCATCGGCAACGTTCCCAAAGTGCAAAGCAGAGGACCCCTGTGAGACCGGCGGCGCCAGTGCCAAGTACAATTGGGGCAGTCCAAGCGTAGGCCGCGCCGCCGAGTGTGAGCGAGAAGAGGATGAACACAACCGAAGACGTCAACAAGCCGATTCCGAGAAAATCCACTCGCCCGAGTTGCTTAAAAATTGTCAGCTTGCCGCTGTCTGCCGAGCGACCGCTGCTGACCTGAAGCCACATCCACATCATGACAAGAGATACCGCGCACACCGGGATGTTGACGCCGAAGCACCATCTCCAGCCAACCTCAGCAAAGATGCCACCGAGCACGGGGCCTACAGTGGTGCCTAGAGCATATACGGCAGCCTTGATTGCGACGTAGTGGCCTCTTCGTTTGAGCGGAATGATGTCACAAAGGATCAGCTCTGCAAACAGGTCAATGCCACCCGATCCGAGGCCTTGAAAGATGCGGCCAAAGATCAGGACGGCGCCTGAGTTGGCAAATCCTGAGACGGCGCTGCCAGCTCCAAAGATAACCACTGCCACCATCATGAGATGTCGGCGGCCCCAGATGTCGGCAAATTGTCCGTACAAGGGCTGGCAAATGATGGAAGCTAGCAGGAACGCCGTAGCGACCCATGATGAGTTTGGTCCAAGGCCCAGGTCCCGTGAAATTGTCGGCAGAGCGGTGCTCACCACGCTTCCCTCAAAGGCCGAGAGAAGGATGGGGACACAGAGCCCAATGAAGCACCGCCAGAACCCGACTCCTCGAACCCATTCGTTGGCATTGGCCTCGGCAACTTCCGTCTTTTCGGACAGCGAGACTGTCGATGGCGTGCTGTTATCATCGAAGCTGGTACAGGATGAGGACTTGAAGTCGTAGTCCTTTTCGCTTCGGCAATATGCTGGGCGCGGCGGATCCATCATGGCATTCGCCTCCAAAGCGGCTCTGGCATTTTCTGCGAGGTTCGTCGAGGACGCGTCTGGCGTTCGCATTGTATTCGAATGGTCGGAACGTGTGATGGTATACCTGTTAATGAAGGGGCAGGAAACTAACTCTTGGTAGATAAAAGATGTGATGGCTGAGGACAAGAGGATTGAGGTAAGTCCCCAGAAATAACAGCCATCACCGTTCCCTTTAAAACACCCCGTCGATGCAAATTTGCTTTGAGTCAATGTTCAACATTGGGGGACATTTGTCCTGCGATCTGTGGACCGTTGTCTTGACGATCCAATGACACCGTCACAGACTCATTGGCATTTTTTCCTATCTTCCATCACATCACTCATGGTTGGGACGAGTGCACATCCACGAGGCAAGCTGCAAGTACAGTGGTATGTACTTTAGGTGTGATGAGAACTTTTTCTTTCGTTGGGTCGGTTCCTTGGCCCCCTACCACGGTTGGAATGCTACCTATCTCACCATGGCCGTCCACGATCGACCTCATCTCTTCCACCAGCTCTCATCCTCATCCCCGCGGCCAGACCAAAGCACTCTTTCCGTGCAACTACAGGACCATCAGTATTGCTGTTGTTGGCGGTTGACGGTCACCTTGGGGACGTTGTGCTGCCTGGTACAAAGAGTACTGTTCCTTTCCTATCTTCTCTCAGATTCAAGGACTTTCTGCCACGTCCGTGGACCGGTGATACAACGAGTCGAGGCGACCAAGAATTTGCATCTGTCATGGACTGTAGCCCAATGGCTTGCCTTGGCTACACGGGTCTCGTAGAGTGGCCAACTGTTTACCTAACAGTTACTGATTGCCCTGGACATGAGGATTGTGCCGTCATCAAGCGGCGGCTGCGACAGTGTGCTCAATGCCCGTCAGTCCGTCACGGATGACAATCTGGGCGAGAGAGTGACAGATTCGAGAGGTTGCTGTACCCAGGACCGCGAGTGGACTGGGAAGTACCCCCTTCTACCACTCGATATGCCGACATTTTCTTCATCCAAGCTCTCTTTAGCTTCGTGTCAAAACGGGAAGTAGCTCGCGGCGGAGTGCCGTAGAGCCTGTGGAAATTACCTCTTGCCCAGTGTTTTATCTTTGCTTGGTCTTTAGCTCTTCCTGAGATGGAGCCTGTCGATTCAGGGACAAGGCTCGAACAGCCTCGAGCTGAGTATGACACAAGGCATTGTCTGCGAATCAGAATGAGCTGGTCCCTTGCAGCACCTGCCAGCTTGGCATGTCAATGGTATTTCCATTGGGTACCATTACTTCGACCATCCCTATAGCCGAGAAGGATCTAGATCCTTTATGCCTCTGATCACATTGTCCTTTTCTGGGAAAAGCTTCCCTGCTTTGTGCTCTTGGTAAAGCAAAAAGCTTTCTCGTGTGCCTAAGGTCGGAGAATTCTCACCAGGGCGAAGTTCTGACTCAATATGGTAGAACGTCGTATTCTATGAGTCTTCTGTTATACCAGGTTTGGAACATGCTCGGGGGCACGAACCCAACAGGCAAAGTGCTCCTTTCTGCCGACTTCGGAAGCCGAGAACCGTTGACCTCAAGGCTGGGTCACAAGGGGCGGTGATCTCTTGTATGTTGGTTCTCCCATCTTCACGGTCAGGATCTGGCCCATCACGCGTCAGACGAGTCGGACACAGAAGCTCCCGAAGGGGTCCCGGCAAACCACATTAGGAGAGGATCATAGTCCGTTGGTGGATGCTGTCATACCTTACAGATTATTTGAAACATTTGTTTCGCAGCCTCAGCATGTCTCAGAGTTCGTGCTGTCGAGGAGGCATTTTCTTTTCTCGGAGCTATCCGTTACTTCGAAGGATAATCAAGACATTCACTTTCGTGGTTGTGTATGAGGCACGTCTGGATGTGATAAAAGCGCGCTGTCGGCTCTCTTCACTTCATTCCGTAACACAGCATCTACGGCACATGACGCAGCACACTTTTCCTTTGTCTTTGCCGTAATCCATCTGCAGCATGACCGTATCACTGATATCAGACACATGGTATTACGATACGGACCCCCAAGACTGGAGGCTGACTACAGGTCGCAGGTGTCCTTAGTCCAGTCCGACATACAAGACCGCAAGTTGTATGACAACATCACTCAAATGTTCTTCATGCAGCTCATGGAGTCGCCGCAGGGTTGTCAAGCCAACAACATTGTGTGTCTACATACACCCATGGACGTCGTTTGGGAGGCGCAGTAGTTGTTATCATGACACCGCATGTTATTCTGCCCCTTTGGGAACCCAATCGGGCAACGCGGGCGCAAAATCACTCAGGGTTGAGCTGCAAGCAAGTGTATGCCGGTAAAAATGAGTGCAAATAGGGACTGTATCCAACTGACTTTGTGTAGGAGAGGATGCCCCCAACCTACCCCACAAGAGGGCAGATATGCGAGAGACTCGGATGAAGATCTCCCGCTGAATGACTTAAAAAGTTGTTAAGTAATCACATTCCTTTGGAGTTTAGGCCCTCGATCATCAAGTCTCCTCCAGCTTGTTTCCGTTACAAATACACATTCCCCGTCGGAGTTAGGGCTTGTTAGCATTAGTAGAGATGACTCTCCTTCCTTCCACCCCTGAGCTCACCTTGTCTTTGGTAGCTCAGCTCTTGAGATATGAGTGATAAAATTCTGTCAGCTCAAGGCGCAGTTCGGACCGGAACCTCACGGCACAGCATCCCGGGTCCAATAACTCTATTTCGCCAAGACTGGGGAAAGTCATGTCATGAAACCCGGGCCTGGACCCTGACATCCCAGCTACTCAACGACCAATCGGCGACGCGCAACCCGTCTGACGTCAACATCAGCTTTTTTCTCCTTTTGACTCTATCATTCTTGACACTCAACATGGAGGAACTCAGATACTGATGGTGATAGGATACGTGGACTGCTTACGCCGGTGAGTCTCTTACTCCCTCAAACAGCCCTATACCTTGCGTCATGCGGGTGTCCGTAGAACATCATGAACATGCCCCAATGGCCTGGGTCCTGAAAACTGCTCAATATTGCCGCTAGCTCGTGAGGATTACCCACCAATATCGACGAATCCAGCCAAGCAAGTCCCAAGATTCTTAGCATACCGCACATGGAGAAATCTTGTTGATCTGTTGGCTGGCCAAAAATCACGGAATGACCTATCCGAGTTTCCCCTCCCCAACTTCACACTGCGGATCTTTCCAATCTCTTGGTCTCGAATTTCTCCTTCTTTTACACAATATTGGCGGTGGTTGTTCTTGGCCCCCGTCAATGGGTGGTAAGCAGGTCAGCCAACACATTCCATCCGTATGGGGTAATGAACCGTAATGAATCGGATCTACTCTACATACATCCGCCCCCGGGACCGGCCAGCCGCAGCCGCACATCTTTAATTTTCCCAACATGGAGGACTTCCCAGAATGGGATTGCTGACCTGACCTGATACTGACACACACACACACCGTACCCATCGAGTTTGGTATCACTGGTCCTGGTTTACCCGAGAAGCGACGGACCAGCGGGGCGTCTTGATTGCTCATGATCCTCAGGTCATTGTTTCTTTGCTCTTACCTAACCTGCTAACCTCTTGAATCGGAACGAGAGAAAAAAATTTCTTCGCCGAGTAAGACGCCAATTCGTCGGACCAGCTTCTCGCTTGCCAAGTGGTAGGATTTTTCGTTGTCATTACCATTATCATTCATTGTCATGTAAAATGCACTTGGAAAAGCAATGCCAAGTTCTGCCGTTTTGTTAATTTTTTTTCGCGTAGACTGTCGTGCAACCTCAAGTATGCAAGCACCCACTGACATTGACAGTTCGATTCAGGGGACAAAAATGTGCTTGATCCGACAACATCATTTGAGCAGAGGAAAAAGAGAAGTGACTTTCATCCGTCTTACGAGAGGGAGGAGAAGTTGTCTGTTCGTTTCTGGATTGGATCGGGTGATACTGCAGTCTGCAGCTGGTTTTTAGTCAGGTCATCGGGGCATAAACACTCGTTTCTTTACTCTTTTGAGAAGCTTGATTGATGAAGGGCTTACAGATACCTACAAGGTACAAACGCAACCTCAACATGCGAGACAACCGGTCACTACGGTACCTAAGCTCTCAAGGTCCCTCCCGAACGTGGAGATGTCTTCAGTTTTATCATCTCGTTCCCCTCCTCCCACGGCCACTCTGATGTCAGGTTTTACATAAGCGAATACGGACTGCGAAGTTGCCAAATCCTTCATTGAGCACACACCATACAGTACACAGGCAAGATGGAAGATGACTCCCATCAGTTGCTACTGACATCTTTTTACATGTCGTCCGGTCAGTGGTCAGAGGTCACTCAAAGGCTACCTCTGGCTAGGTAAATTTCCGCTCGGAGTCACCCGCTTGGAAGAGCCTGAGGGGCAGGCTCGGATGATAACCCGCCGCCGCTCGCCGGGCATTCGCGGTTCAACCACCTAACATCCTATCCACAACGAATGTTAGCAAACTTCTCGGACTTGCTTTCCAATTTTTCAAGTCAGGCCAGTCCAGTCGGCCGACCGTCACGAATGTTCAGATGGTCTGGACTTCATTGCCTACCTACGCTGCTACGGTAGTTCCTCCTTTCTCCAGGCCCTGGCATGATGCTATCGCCAAGCATCCCATGATTCCCATGATCGACATTAGTTTACAGGGAGCTGCAGGAGTGATAGTTAGTGTCCAGCACTACACTAGTGTAGCGGGAGACCAGCGCTGCAGTACGACATGGTTAGCTACCTGTACCTTAATTGTAAGGTACGCTATGCTATTACTTACACCGATCTTAGGTTGGGTTGGGGGCCTAGACTCCCAAGTCCTAACACCGCCCGCACTTTTACGTTCTCTCAATGGAATCGGGTTTCTCTTAGGTAGGTAAGGCAAGGTAAGGTACCGGTACCGGTATCTGAAGTTGCCAACTTTCTTTTGCCTGAAACAAACAGCGTCGAGTTGCATTTCATCTTCAACACTCAACACTCAACACTCAACGCTCAACGTTCAGCTCCATTGCACGTCGTTGGTAGTAGTTCGTATGGAATCGACTAAGACGGAGCCCAAGGTTGGTAATTAGTACGAAACCAGATAAAAGATTCAAGTTGTTTGCAGTTCGCGTTCCCTTAAAGGACCAATGACTGGCACTGCCCGATGATGGATGTTCCCGAATAGGGGCAGGAGGTACAAGTAGAGGTAGGGCTGGGTACCCCCGGACCTGAATGAGTGGCTCCAATCCCTAAATGAGCCGGCGCGGATCACTTAATTGGTCTAGTCCGATCTTGGATCTACTTAGTAGACTACATTCCATACCGACAGGGTGTGTCCAAGTACCTCCCCAAAGGGGGTAGTGTAATACAATACGGTGAGTGAAGCCACAAACGGCTTCATCTTTTCCCCATTATCATCCGGTGAATCAGCTAACCTATTCTTAGCCAAGTCCTGTGAGTTATTACACTCGTTCGTACACCGAGTTTCCAATCTGCTGACTCGTTGGAGGCTTGACAGCTTGCGTTGGTGTGTGTGGAGAGGTGTAAGTGAAGGTAAGGTACCATGACGGCTGCGGAGTGAAGGAGGGGAGGGGATGGAAATCTTGGGATGACTTTCTTGTGTCTTGTGCAGGGCAGGTTATGACCCGCTTGGGCATCGGCCAAGGGCAAGGGCAAGTGCAAGGTAAGGTAAGGCAAGGACAAAGAGGATCTATATAAGACCCCTTGCCGTGTCCTCTTCGATGTTGTCATTTCCCTCCACAATCCAGACATCGCCCTCATCAGACCTATCGGCTCTCAGATTCCAGAGAACACAAAGTTGTCTCACTTTGCAATCTTTCGGCAACTTCCTCACATTCATATCAATATCAGCTGGTCCCAAAAAGCCATCATCTTTCCGGACCCAAAGCATACTTTTTACCTACATTTCACAAAGCGAGCCTTCTTACGATACTTCTCGTCAGTATCACACAAGTCACAACTATGATTGCCACCAAAGTCCTCCTTCTCGTCGGCATGGCCTTCAGCGCCACGATTGTCGCCGCCAACCCCGTCACCAAGACCTGCGCCAACGTCAAGTGTCCCGTCCGGTGCGAGATGATCAAAGGCAACCCTACCTGCGTGGGTGGCCGGCCTCATAGACCCGAGACCGCCGAGGCCGTGTCTGAGTCTCCTTGTGACTCCGTCCGCTGCAACTACCGCTGCGAAGTCATCAACAACCAAGCCGTCTGCGTCGGCCCTCCTTCTGAAGATCTTGCCGCCGACAACACCTCCGTGAAAGGTGAAAAGTGCGGCGTCGCCACCTGTGGCCTAGGGGAATCCTGCTGCAACGAATCCTGCGGCGTCTGCGTTCCGCTCGGCGGTTCATGCGCCCAAGTCATCTGCGAGCCGGCCGGCAAGCAATGCGGCCCCAGTGTATGCTCAGGCGACACACCTCACTGCTGCAATGAGAGCTGTGGAATCTGTACCGCTCCGGATGGATTCTGCACGCAGCAGCTTTGCAACCGCGGGTTCACTCCCAGTGAGAGCAAGAGGAATGCGGAGGCTGATAAGATCAAGCTGGAAACCCAAAAGTGCGGAAAGGCAATTTGCCCCGAGGGTATGAGCTGCTGCAATTCTAGCTGTGGTATCTGTGTGAAGCCGGGAGGTGCGTGCACGCAGCAGTTTTGCCAGAGCGCTGACGTCGTGGGTGTTGAGGTAGCCTAAAGGGTTTGAAGGGCGTGGTGGTGGACTGGTGGCATGGCAGGACGGGAGGGTTGCGGTGGTGTTGCGAGTAGGGTACGGGTACCTGGCGTTGGAATGGGTGGCGGAGGTGGCAATGGCGGGTAGATGTAAAGGAGGGTGGGAAAGGGTTTGATGATCAAATTCCTTGGGGTTGGTATTTTGTCTTAATGTGGTCTTGGGGGTCACACCGGGAGTATAAGGGAGGATCACGGTGGCTATGGGACAAAGGGTCACGTACTAGATCGGTGGGGGGTTTCCTTTTCTGGCTTTCTATGCTTTGTTCTGTCTACAGTGGGAGCTCCAGCTGTGCTTTGTTGGTATTGCGTTTAGGTATGCTTGGAAGACAATCAACTTTGTTGTCTCGCATCCTGTCGATTCACGCGGTCGTCCTGGCTGAATGCTTGCGGTTTCTTGCAGTCGTGAAGCTGTTTATGTGGCTGGTGTCATAAGATTGTAGGGTCTTCGTCAAGCATAGGCCAGGGAGCAATGACCTGATAATGCGTATCTGTTTAAAGTTGATGTCAGCATGGGCTCTTAGAACCGGGCCTATGCCTTAGGGAGTCAAGTTTGGCACTTCTCTAACCGCATCAACAATCAGAGGGTCTTGTTTCAAACCATACATCCGACGCTTTTTATTCTCCGACTCTTTAGATGGGTGTCGAGAAGTTTGTCCGTCGGGTGGCTAATGCGATGATTTGCTGGGATGTCTTGTAGTGCTTTTTTTTGTTCATTTGCCGCAAAAGCGACTGGAACGTGGCTCAACGTTTTTGCAGCGGTGTTGATTCTGTACCAACCCAGTTGTTGTGCGGGTATGACATGCTGGATTGGATGCAACGTGTGTTCGAGGTAATAAGGGAAGGATGACGGCAGTGAGTTGATAGGATCGTGTAAGTAAAGTGGCAGCCGGACGAGGTGAAGACGGACGAAGAGAATGACGATGTTCAGGTACGGAAATTGATTTTGCTGGCTCACCTTTACGGGCGACGAGGTCGACAGCAAGGTGAAGCAATGATAAAATTATCTGGATCACGATTGATAGATTGATTGCTTGCAGGAAGAAAAATACAGGAGAAAGATCCAATCCTGCAGCCAGAAACTAATTCAGCAGAGGAAAGAGAAATGGCTGGTTGCTCACGCCTTCCACTGGAGATGATAAAGGAGTCGTCGATCCGGACGACAAGAGCAGGCAGTCAACTGCGGACTCCGCAATTGTGCATCGTACTTTACATATGGCCGGCACCTGCCCCGGAGCACAACACAGCAGCTCGAGATGCAGCCTTAGACGCCTTGGGTTACACAGGCAACCCTTATTTCAGACATTCCAACAACTCTCAGTAGCAGAGGTGGTCTGGTGTGAAGCCAGAAAATCGTCGGTTTTGTAGGTGGCAACTAAACGGGCCGGTTCGACCCAGGCCATGAGCCGCTGATAATTTTGTCTTTTTTGGTTCTTTCTCTTCGCTTTCAAATTGATCAATCAATTGTTCTACGGGCCATTGCTTCTGCTTCTTCTCCAACGATTGATATGTGTTTGAGGGTACTTGAGCATGGTTTTGTTATGGTAACTGTGGAGTGTTCATGCAGAGATACTTGGGACCTTTCTCGTCGCGATCCCCTCATTTGCACCCACGGTGAAAATTACATCATCGCAACCATCGGTCTCACTGTTCAAGCTTCCATTACCTTTTTCATTCAGTCATTATGGCAAACTCGAATAACTTGCTGGCTATGCTGTTTCATGGATTCTGTTTCTGTTCCAGTTGTATATCCCATGGCTACCATGTATGCACGAACTCCCGGACAAAGATGATACCCATGGCATTCACCTGTAGACCCAAGTTGAACATCAACATCTGAGTCAATTTCTAATATACGAGGAAGCTTCCTCATTGCTGGTTATCCTTGGTTGTTTAAGATCTCTTCTTGTGTTGTTTGCAGCACGTTACACTGAGTTTGCCCACCAAGCACATAACGGCTAAAATTTCCGTCTTGATCAAGACACTTGGTCTGCAGCCAATGGCCTGCTAGACACTATGTGTAACTCTGTAACGGTCGCTATATCATGTCATTCCAGAAAGAGCCTCCTTTCAAAGCAAAGATGGAGTTTGGTTCCTGATAAATGGCTCTGGAAGAAACAATGACGAGTACGGAGATGGACGGCCCGTCACGATGTCGTATCCTAGGAACTTGATGTTCTTTTAATGTGATGCCAATCCGGCAATTGAGCGTCGATTCAATATGGATAAGGTCGGATGATAGATGTAGGTCGCGATGGCGCCAGTCCCCCCCACAGCCAAGAACCCGGGGTAAAAGGTTTGTCGGGCGATGGGATGTCGGTGCCTCGGGGTATATAGATACGACCGGGACTCCTATAAGTCATGTTCTCTGGACCTTGAACCACGACGATCGAGTGTCAAGCTAATATTCTCGTTCAGTACGCAAAAATGCGAACCACAACCTCTTTTCTTCTCGGAGCCGCGGTTGCTGGAAGTACACTGGCCGTACCGTTGGTGGACTCTCGCCAGGCCGACACTTGCGCCCCGATACCATCTCCGTTTCCAACATGGCAACAACTCCCCACGCAATCGTCTCTCCCGGACCCGCTGCTCCCTCTCAAGTACACCACCACGGATAACGTCAAGGATATTCTGGTCGGAAAGGGCCCGAACCGCGTCCAAACTCCCGAACAATGGTACAAGTGCCGACAGCCCGAGATCATTCAGCTGCTGCAGGAGTACCAGTACGGTTACTACCCGGACCACTCCCAAGAAAAAGTGGAAGCCACTCGTAGCGGCAACACGGTCAACATTGCGGTCACGGCGGGCGGAAAGACGGGCAAGTTCAAGGCCACCATCTCGCTTCCGTCCGGGGCATCGGCATCGAAGAAGGCACCGGTGGTGATCAATATTGGCGGCATGCAGAACCAGCCATACTTGAGCGCGGGGATTGCGATTGCACAATTCGATTACACCTCGGTAGCGCCGGATAGTAACTCGAAGACGGGGGCTTTTTGGGATATCTACAAGGGGAGAGACATTGGTAAGTAGGATCGCCAGCAGATGGTCTACCTGACAGGCAGAAACGAGACTAATTTTGACAGGCGTCTTGACGGCCTGGGCATGGGGTTTCCATCGGACACTCGATGCGCTGAACACGACCGTTCCCGAGATCGACGCGAACCGGGTCGGCGTGACTGGTTGTTCCCGCTTGGGCAAGGGTGCTCTCGCAGCCGGCCTCTTTGACAGCCGCATCACGGTGACGATGCCCATGTCGTCCGGGGTGCAAGGAGTCGGACCATATCGATACATCGGACTGAGCGGACAGGGCGAGAATCTGGAGAACAGCAAGTCGGGTGCTGGCTGGTGGACCAACAGCAAGCTGGGGACTTTTGTCAACCATGCGCCGAATCTTCCATACGACGCCCACACGATTGCGGCGGCAATCGCTCCGAGGGCCTTGATCATTGACCAGGGCACGGGCGACGCTTATACCGACAGCAAGGCGACAGCCATCGTGGTCTATCCGGCTGCAAAGGCCATCTATGACTGGCTTGGAGTGGGTGACAAGATTGGTATCAGCGTTCGAAGTGGAGGGCATTGCGATATGAGCGGTTTGTATGTTGTATCCTCGAATCCTCGGAATCCTGTCCTGTGGTTATGACGTTGCTGACAGTTGTGCTCCAGTTCCTCGGTGTTGCCGTTTGTGCAAAAGGTCTTCTTCGGGACTCCGACAACCAAGGATTACAATAACCTGGGTAGCTATGGGTCGCCCATGTCGACTGCTTTCCCGTGGTCGACTGCTCTTCCCAAGGCCCAGTGAGCAAGACTTGGTGTTGTTGGAAAGGGAGAAGGTCATGGAGTGTTGAGTCGGCGAGGGGGTGGGTAGTCAAACTAGGGATGTTGTTCGAAGGTAGCGATAGGTCGGATCCCATAGCGAGTTGTTGAAAATTGAACTCATGGTGTGATTGAGGTGCTGGTCCAGCTCGAATGGAATGATGGCAGTTGGTGACTTCTTTCCGATGAAGAAGAAAAGATGACAAAGTCGGGAGCTTGGCTTGTGAAATTGAAGTTCGTATGTTCGGGTTGGCATTAGCAGAACATTCTCTGATTGGCTCAACGTACCATATCCGGCAGGCATCTAATTCCTGTCCGTCAATCGGCAAGTCTCCATTCACGACTCCGCCAGTGAGCTTCAAGGGTATCCACACTAGTATCCACAGGGGCCGCAGTTGCACCCGTCCCCTGCCGCGCTCCCGAGCTTCCAGAAGTTGACTGATCCAATTGATTTCCAACATCATCGCTTTTCCCTCTTTGTTCAGTTCCCACTGCTTGGCTTTGTCTCAAAGGCCGGAACTGCCAGATTGCCGCCAGCCGCCGTTCTAGTCCCTCCCGTTTCTAGAATCCTGACTAGAAACATCTTTCCCCGGATCATCGACGTCAACTGTCTCATTCCCGTACCATCCGATCCGGCCTGTCATGCCTTGAAGGATGCTGCTCTGTTGATTTGGATTTGGACTTGAAACTGCTGCCGGAAACCGAAATACATTCGCCATGGACACGCTCCAGCATGGGACGAGAGGTAAGACTTCCATTGTCATGAGCCAATTGACTCTGGCTAACCTTCAACTGCTTCTCCAGACCTTCCCTGGTCCTCGATCCCGACCGAATTCCTCCGCGCCGAGCTCTTGAAACGCGACGACGATGCGGACACATCCCGCCCACAATGCGGTTCAGGGGAGAAGGGTGAATACAACACAGGCTTACATGTCTTTGCCCTCGTCTTGATCCTCTTGCTGAGCACCCTGTGTATGTTGGACCGACCCTGTTTCCTAACAGTTCCTATGATATGGTACACTGGTGCTGACTGCTGGACGGCACGACAGCCTGCGGATTTCCCCTCTTCTCACGCCGTGCCATGAAAGGCAGCAAACTACAACGAAACATCATCTTCTTTAGCCAGCACTTCGGCACCGGCGTGTTAATGGCCACCGCTTTCGTCCACCTACTCCCAACAGCCTTCATGTCCTTGACCGACCCCTGCTTGCCATACGTCTTCAGCGAAGGATACAAACCGCTGGCCGGCTTGGTTGCCATGACAGCTGCTCTGGTCGTTGTCGCCCTAGAATCATACCTCACCACACGCGGTGCTAGCCATTCACATTCGCATACCATATTCGAAGACGAGGAGGAAAGCGGCCCTGTTCACCATCATGTCCACCACGACTTCAAGGATAGCCCCGAACGTATTGCGCTTCAGGATCGTGAGGTCACCCAGGGCCTTATGGGGCGACAGTCGCCCATTGCCAGCACCAGCGCCAACCCTTCTCCGTCCGACCAGCCCCGAGCTTCTCGAGATGACGACAGCGCTAACTCCCTCGATCTCGACTTGACCTTTGACGAGCTTCAACCTGTCCCGAATACCGACCATGACCAGCTTCTTGAGCCCACAAACACCAACGCCTATAGGACGGGACTTCAGCCTGCTGTAGCTCCCAATGTGCCAAATCCCGAAGAACAAAAGCGTATGTTGTTGCAGTGCTTGCTCCTGGAGGCTGGCATCTTGTTCCACAGTGTCTTCATTGGAATGGCCTTGTCGGTGGCGACCGGTCCTCCGTTTATCGTCTTCTTGATAGCCATCGGCTTCCACCAAACATTCGAGGGCCTTGCGCTGGGCACACGCATTGCCGCCATTCACTTTCCTCGCTCCTCTCCACGGCCATGGCTCATGGTGTTGGCATTCGGCGCCACCACCCCCATTGGACAAGCCATAGGATTGCTTATCCACACTTTTTACGACCCCATGAGCCAGACTGGTCTCCTTATGGTCGGCTTCATGAACGCCATCTCCAGCGGTCTTTTGTTGTTTGCCGGCTTGGTTCAGCTACTCGCCGAGGACTTCCTTTCAGAGAAGAGTTATGCAACGCTCCATGGCCGGAAGAGACTACATGCCTATTTTGCTGTAGTTGCCGGGGCTGGGCTCATGTCTACCGTGGGTGCTTTTGCTTGAATTACAAGCCTTCGGTTTATCCCTTGTCATTGTTATATGGACATGTTTCGCATCTGCTTGGGGTTGCATCATCAGCGGCGTTTTCTTTTTGTATAGAGCATTTCTGCCATCAGCGGTACTACAACAGCAATCTTAGAAATTATCCTGTTTCCCTCCATACCTTTTGCCTTCACTCTTTAAGACGACGCGTGGACGCAACCCTCCTCATCTTGCTCCTAGCTCCCGACTTGTTCGAGATGGAACTCGCGACCTTCCACATCGGGGACTTTATGAGAGCCAACGACATGATGACAGCCACGAGGTCCAAGGTATCATTCGCCCGAATACCTAGACAAGGTGGAGGTCAATGATGGCAAGGCATGCAAACAGCAACGCCACCCTATGTTTTACCCCCTGCTGGGTAACGTCCTGTGCTTCAGGATCGTATTCCGGAACCAACATGCATCAGACCAAACAAACCGCATCAGCTATCGCAAAATTAATCGGGCAACCACACAGGCTCCCGTGCTGTTCATATTAGCATTAGAAACCACCGCCACAGCCGATACAGTCTCTGTCCCACCATCCGCGTCAGCAACGACAATAGAATGTCGTTGGGCTCGCTGGGTCAGCACCTTGCAGAAAGTTCAGCCTCCTTCCTAAAAGAGCCTCTTGACGCTGCTTTTCGATATCCGGTCATCTAAAGGTGACACCGCAGTTGGCCTATGAGACGGTGCTTTCGGGATTTCCTAAGGGGATGTTGTAGGTTACATGTCAGATCACGACTACACTATCGCCTTGAACTTGTTGACCACCTACTCGATACTCACCCACAAGCCGGTTCTAGACAACGTCGAACTGCCAACAAGCCCTATACTAGCACGGCATTATGCTGTTCCCCGCTTGTCCACACAGGGGAACCACGCACGTGGACGTGAATAAGCTTTGGTAAGAAGCGAGCTGTACAAGCTTTTCTGTCGCATGCCGAGCAATCTATTGTGCTTCCCTGCGGGTGTTGATATTCCACTTGTCTTTAGCTGACATGTTTGCCCTGTAGCCATGGATGCCCATCCCGGTGTTAGCCTGATATCAGATACAAGGATTCGGGTTGAAACTGTCCGAGGCGGGCAGGTTGTGTAAAGGAACAGAACAAGAGGCGAGGTGATGGGTATGGCGGCTGAGACTTTGGAAATATAAGGCGGGCCCCCAGCATACGTTCATGGTCACTTTTTCCCCCGCTCTCTTGCTTTGGAAGCATCTTTTTCACCCTCATCCACGATCCTACGATATGCGCGTCAAGACGATTGGTATTGCCGTTGGCCTCTGTGCCGTTGGCGCGTTGGCCAAGGAGAAAGCAGTCGATATGTCACGTCATGGTAAGACTTCAGCTACTTGTGCATTATTGATCAAGACTGACACAAAACCATTCCAGCCGAGTATAAATCCGGAGCAGTTATGGATCGAATCATGGCTCACAAGTTCGTATGTATACACATGCATTCCTTACGACCAAGAGCCGTCAAGACTTACTAACAGATACCAGGAACAATGGGAGGCCAAACTTGCTAGTGGCGCCCTCAACAGTACCCAGTGGCCTCGGCTCAACTATACCAAGTGTGTCAATGGCATCGCTGAGGCAATCCATGGCGATGCTCTGCAGACTTTCAGGTGCAAGAACATGGACCTGTATGACTTCATCAACCACGCGACTCTTGGCTCACCACTGGCCACTGATGAGGGAGCGAGTGGTAGTTCCATTTGGGGCTGGACCGACCCCAAGTCCGACAGGGAGTTCATTGGTAGGTTCATTTGGATGGGACGACAGAGTGATCAAGCTAGAAACACATACTGATCTCAACAGCTGTGGGAATGTTTCAGGGAACTGGCTTCGCCGAGATCTTACCCAAGGGGAGACTGCTCAATCTGGGTTTCCTGTAAGTGTCTATGACCAGATTCTTGTCAGCGGGATCATATCTAACGGATATCGGATAGTCCTGCTCCCGCAACACTGAGTAAATACGCTCTGTGGAAGGAAATTCGTGGGTACAAGAACTACATGGTGATTGGTAGTGAACTGGAAGAGCACGGAATTCAGATCTTTGACATGCGCAAGGTAACCATTGCTATTATTTCCCAACCCCCAGATCCATGAGCTAACATTTTACAAAGCTCCTCACGATCATTCCCAAGAAGGCCCCCGTCAAATTTTCTGTCGACGACGTGACGGGTCACTTCAAGGACTTGCCTCGGGGTAGTACACACAACGTCGTCATCAACGAAGAATTCCAGTATGCCGTATCCGTCGGTGCCCGACCTCGCAATGACTCCTGCGGTGCCGGTCTCATCTTCATCGACCTCAAGGACCCATCCAAACCCACGAGACTAGGATGCAATGCTCAAGACGGTTATGTCCACGACGTAAGTTCTATAGCAGTCAATGCTTCACCTCCAACGCTTCAAACTTTCTAACATCCTCTCTTCTCCAGGCCCAATGCCTCAAATACCGCGGCCCCGACAAGCGCTATCTCGGCCACGACATCTGCTACGGCTATAACGAAGACAGCCTCACCATCTACGATGTAACCAACAAGGCCAACTCGTCCATCATCTCCCGCACCTCGTACGACGGCGCCGCCTACACCCACCAAGGCTGGGTTCTCGACCGTTACAACCAAGAATACTTGCTGCTCGATGACGAACTAGACGAGGGGAACGCCGCCGGCCCGGCCGCGCCCGGATACCCCATCACCTACATCTGGGACATCCGCAACCTGCAGAACCCCAAGAACACGGGACATTACAAGGCCACGAATCGCGGCATTGACCATAACCAGTATGTCATTGACGGACTGTCGTATCAGAGTAGTTATGGCGCCGGGGTGAGGGTTTATGATGTTTCCAGTATCCCGCAGGACCCCACGGGAGCGGGCGTGTGTGAGGTGGCGTATTTTGATATTTATCCTGAGGACGATAAAGCGGAAGGAGGAGGTGAGGTCGGGTTCGCGGGCAGTTGGGCGAGCTATGGGTATTTCAAGAGCGGGTTTGTGGCGGTTAACACGATGGAGCGCGGGGTTTACCTGGTCAAGGTTACGAAGAGGGAGAGGTGTAAGAGGGTTCATGCTTAGATGCTTAGGAAGGTCGGAGATGTAGTCTACCCAGCGGTTCGAAGGAACCATCACTATTGTCCAGGAACACCATAACTCAAACTGCATATCATCTCAAAATCCAATTCCTCCTTCTTGACACATACCCTTTACTTCCTCCCCGTCTTTAACCCCTTAAACTCCTTCGTAATATTCGTAATCGCCTCCTCAACTGGCAATCTCTCCATCGAGCTCGCGCCATAAAACCCATGCACCCCCTCGGTCTTCTGCAACACGTACTCGGCATCCTGCGGCCTCGCAATCGGCCCGCCATGACACAAAACAATCACCTCAGGATTAATCTCCCTCGCCACATCCCTAATCTCCTGAATGAGCTTGACACACTCATCCATCGTCTTTCCCCCTCCCTCCTTGAGTCCAATAGACCCGCCAGTAGTCAACCCCATATGCGCCACCAAAATATCCGCTCCCGCTTGCGCCATCTGTTTCGCCTCCTCGACGTTAAACACGTACGGCGTCGTGAGCAAGTCCATGGAATGCGCGAGCCGGATCATTTCCACTTCGAGGTCGTAGCCCATGCCCGTCTCTTCGAGCGCGGCGCGGAAGGTCCCGTCGATTAACCCGACCGTGGGGAAGTTCTGGACGCCCGCGAAGCCCAAATCGCGCAGCTTGGTCAGGAAGTGAGGCATGGAGACGTAAGGGTCTGTGCCGCATACGCCGGCCAGGACGGGCGTGTGGTGCACTACGGGGAGAACTTCTTTGGCCTGCACTTTTGCGTTAGTACCTTAGCTATTGTATGAATGGAAAAGGGGGGGAGATGAATTAGTACCATATCAACAACAATATCATTGGCATTTCCATAGGGCATGAGTCCAGCTAGCGAGCCCCGGCCGGCCATCCGGAACCGCCCGGAGTTGTAGATGATGATGAGGTCACCCCCGCGGCTTCGACGAATTTGGCTGAGAGACCAATGCCGGCGCCGGCGCCGACGATGGTCTTGCCCTCGGCGATTTGGCCGCGGAGCTTTTCGAGGATTTGAGTGCGGGTGAGTTGTGGTGCCATTTTCTTGTTGTCAAATGAGATGAGGTGAGATGAGATGAGGTGATTGACAAAGTCTGATGAGTTGACTGGATGAATGGAAGGTTGACAATTAAAGATGGATTTAAACTAACAAAACAAACTGCCGGATTGGAAAAGGGGGAAGTGGAGTTTTTTTCTGTATGGTCGGTTTGCGTCGGTTGCGGTGGTGGGATTTGTGTCTTTACGTCATTAGTTCACGAAGGCTATCGGGCCGTTATCGTCGTCTTTTTCGAGCAGTGTAACGGCACACACGACAAAGGAAGATGGATCACGAAAGTAAATATTTGGGGATCGTCGGTGGAGGAGGGGGGGTCAAAGATCGTGATACAATTTGTACAACATCAACTCATGTGATTTGGGTTTATCATCGTTGGTGTTTTTAACCCTTCAACCACCTCCGCATTTTACCCCTCTTCTCCCCCTCCCCCAACTGCCATACAGCGGCCCGCCCCGAACCCCAAATATCAACACCACGAGCACGCAGTGACCGCAAAAACTATCACCAACTCATCACCATCACCATCCCCCCCATTAACAAAAATGCCAACCATCGTCCTCATCGGTACCTGCGACACCAAGCTCCCCGAAATCTTGTACCTCCGCTCTCAAATCCTCCTCCTTCCAGACACCAACGTTCACCTACTCGACGTCGGCCGCCAATCCGTTTCCCATCCAGCCATCACCTTGGGCCCTTCCGGCCTCCTCCGCGACTATGCCAGCCCATCAGACCCCAAGGACATTCACTCCCTCCAATCCCTCCCGCGCAATGAGCTAGTAGAACTCATGTCCCGCGTGGCAACTACGCACGTCAAACACCTCTTTTCTCAAGATCAGATACATGCTATTGTGTCATTGGGCGGATCAAATGCCACCGCGCTCGCCGCACCGGTAATGAGGAATGCGTTGCCCATCGGCTTTCCAAAACTGATGGTGTCAACCGTGGCGAGCGGGGATACGGGCCCCTACGTGGGCGAGACGGATATCACCATGATGTATAGCGTTGTGGACGTTGCGGGATTGAATGAGGTTTTGAGGGGGGTGTTGGAGAATGCAGCGGGGGCGGTGGTGGGGATGGCTGATGCGTACCAGAAAAGGATGGCGGAACGAAAAGGACGGGAAGGGGGGGAAAGGGAGAAGAAAGTGAGGGTAGGAATCACCATGTTCGGCGTCACCACCCCGGGCGTCGACGCCATCAGGCAGTATCTCGAATCCAAGTACCCCGACGTCTTCGAAACCATGGTGTTCCACGCCACGGGCCACGGAGGAAAAGCGATGGAACGACTGGTGCGGGCTGGAGATTTGGACGCGGTGATTGACCTTACCACCACCGAGTTAGCAGATGAGTTGGTTGGAGGGGTGATGAGTGCCGGGCCGGACAGGATGCGGGCAGCTGTTGAGAAGGGGATTCCTTACGTTGTGTCGTTGGGTGCGCTGGATATGGTCAATTTTGGTCCGAAGGGGACGGTGCCGGAGCGGTTTCGAAAGGATGAAGAGAGAAAGCTTTATGAGCATAATCCTACGGTTACACTCCTGAGGACGTCGGTGGAGGAGTGCAAGGAGATTGGGGAGCGGATGTGCGAGAAGTTGGTGGAAGGAGCAGATGCGAGCAAGATCCAGGTGTGGATTCCGAGGGGCGGGTTGAGCATGTTGTCTGTGCCGGGAGCACCGTTTGAGGACAAAGATGCTGATGAAGCGCTATTTAGGGCTGTTCATGACGGTCTCAGGAGCAGTGATATCCTGATTAGGGATGATGAACGGAATGTCAACGACAAAGGCTTCGCTCATGACATTGCGGAAGCCATGGCCAGACTCTTGGGGCTATCAAGCGACCAGGAATCGTGAGTGGTCGGGTTCAAGGAGGTACGGAGAAAAGGTCTCGGTTGGTTAACCACAATATTATGACCACTAAGCTTTCTCTGTGTCAAAATTCTAACACTACTGGACACACTTATCGCACAAACAGGCCTGTCTGACAACATCTTACACCTGACACCCTATACACCCACCCATCTACCTCACCTACGGCCTCAAAGTAGGTGAACTCGCCCTCTGAGCTTGACCCTGACCCTGACCCTGATCCTGATCCTGGCGATTAATCACCAAAGGCGGCGGCGACAAAGAAGTCACAACCTGCGACGGGGACTTTCCCTCCTGCCCACCTTGCATCTGGCCATTGTACAAGTTAAACAACGACTCGTTTCCCTCCGACGAAACCGTCATTCTCGACCGGTCCTGATCCATGTCCGTTCCCGCACTGCTATCCGACCACATGCTCTGGAACTTCATCGCCTTCATATTCTGTGCAGCAGTCGGGGGCTTCTTGGGCATCGGACTCAGCGGCTTCGAGATTTCGTTGAAGTATGTAGCGGGGATTTCCGGCATGGGAGGGGCGTCTGGGTCGTAAGGGGTAGCAGGATAATCAGAAGCTATCGACTCCCGCCCGCCTCCTTGTTGGGAGCTGCCGTAGGCTGACGAGGCCCGCCGGCTGAAAGCAGAGAATGTGCTGCCTCGGATGGAAAGAGGATTCAGTTTCAGGGGGTGGTGTTTGCGCAGCCAGCTGGCGACGGACTTGCGAATTTCGGGCTGGTGGGTGGGCGCTGGCCGGATGATGGTCACGGGATGAGCGCTGTCGGCTCGTTTCTCGTCGAGGGCGGTAGGGAGGACGTAGCCGTTAGGAATGCTGTAGGTGTTGTTGGTGTTGTCATGGCCGTTCTGGTGGGCATAGGAAGCGGCGATTAGTTCATCGAGTATCTGAGAGTTGCTGCGTGGGTCGAAGTTGGTTGAGAGCTGGTCGGCGCCTGCACCGCCTGCAGCAGTTGCTGGAGGTGGGAGGCCGTTTTCACCGGATTTCTCGCCGGAGAGGAAGGCCCGGATGGAGGACTCGGAGTCGGCTTCCGACTTGCGGGAGCGGAAGCACTTCAAGAGCCAAAAACAGACAATTCCGAACATGGCGACACCGGCTGTTGATGGAAATGGTTAGTTGGTCATGGTTTCGCAAGAGCAAGCCAAATCAGCGAAGCTTCCACTTACCAACGACTCCAATAGCGATGCCGGCCTTTGCGCCTCCTGACATGTGCCCGTGAGCGGCCTCCTTCTGCTGTACCCCTTCTAAAGCAGCTCCATTGTTGATGGCTGGGCTCGCCGTGGCCGAAGTCAAGACACTGGTGGTGACACTGCTGGTGATGGCGATTGATGCCGCTATGGCTGTTGTGCTGCTGCCAGTCGTCATGGTCACAAATCCACTTGTGATGGTGGCTGAACTTGTCTTTTCTGGCTCGTCATTGTGGTCCTTTGTCTTGGTGGGCGCGGGCCTGGCTGAGTGTGAGATTGGAGTGAGTGTTGTTATCGGCTGCGGTTGTGCGGAAGCACTGACGGTGCTGACGGTGAAAGTGACTGCTGGTGTCGGGAGGGACTGGGTAAGCGTAGGGGGTTCTATTCCTATTGATGTTGTCTCGGGTTCCGTTGGCGTTGATCCTGCTACCGAGACTGTTTTCGTGGACTTTGTCGACTTGACTGTTTTTTTGGTTGTTGTGGCTGTCTTGGTTGACACTGACTTGTTGTCTACCGGATCATCGATGAATTGGAATACTGGTTCTGATCTTGCCGATAGGTTGTTGTGTTCACCAGCCTCCAGCGTCACTCCCTCACCCAGTTGAAACCCGTCGACGTGGTTTTCTTCATCCAATTCATCACTGTGCGATTGTAGTAGTACGTTGTCCACCCATCGTCTAATGTCATGTCTCGAATATCCATCCATATCGTCTGCCTGCAGCTGTCTTGACTTTTTCTTTTTTTTTGTTTCCACCGAACCTCCGTTGACCCCTTAAGCCTGCAAAGGATTGTTTTTATGAAAATCAGGCCTGCTGTAGTGAAGGAAGCGAAAGAATGAATGTCCAGCACCAGGCTGTTAAAGAAAAGAGGGAACGAAAGGTTGTATTATCAACCTTGCTCTGTTGTTCACAGTAAACAAACAGATAGTGCAGTAAAAAGAGAGGGAAGAAAATCCCAAGTCATTCCCGGCTCCGAAGGAAAGGGAGCGGGACACTCCAGGGTTTTAGGTTCTGGACACTTCCAAATCCAGCCTCCAGTCGGTCCAGCATTTCATCCAGCCCATGGCCTTGGAATAAGCCATACCACAACACGAAATCTTCGAGTTTCACATCTCGTGCGGTGTTCTGGTAAGAACTGGGAGAGTCGTAGTTCGCCAAGTGGTAACCCCCTGATGATGTGTCGAGTGTGTGGAGCATGATGCGCTGTGGTCGTCCGGAGGCCAGCCCCTGGAACCCTGTCCGTCGACCCCTGAAACACCACGCAGCGGCGCTGTGAGACCCTGGCGATCCAGTCAATGCAGGGGCTTGGCGTGGAGGTCGACCACAAGTGTTCATCGTGTTCCCCGGAAAACACGTCGAGACTGTCAACCTTTTTCGGGTTCATCTCTGTTCAATATGAAATACGGCTCTTTCGGTTCTCGAGGATTATGGGGATCGGATCTGACGCATTGACGAAATCGAACGGGTTGCGTATAAGAAAGATTTTTGGTCCCAACTCCCTGGGTTTGCCGTTCTGCTCCAAAGTATCATTCGATGAATTGGGCAAGTAGCACTCAATGGCAAGGCAATTCTCAGAGTCTTGAAACATTTATCTCAAAGGATTGCGTAGCCAACGATGATGACGACGACGACAAGGTGACAACAAGGCCGAGATGGTATCGACGCGGTATTGATAGGCGAAATGTAAAAGACACCGTTCAGCTGCTGACGACGCTTTTGAGGCCAGACAAGTGGGATTGCAATATTACCGTTTTTCAACCTATGGAGCAATCAGCGTTCTGTCTGCGATCATGAGAGAAAAACCCTAGAGGTAGTTTCGACCTGCTATGAACTTCCTGCTGCGTCCGGTTGCTCCTTCCTGCCTAGACTGGCTGTTGGAGGGTCGGTACCTACATACAAGAAGGAACGACGGAGATCAATGGGGAAGAGGGAACGAACAGCTCCCATCCCGTCCCATCTCACTATCCATAAGGCGTTGTGGTGTTGCTAGGCTGGCATCTTGCGCCTGGAGAGGGCCGTGATCATAAGGGGGCTTTCGACAAGATAATAGCACAACAATGGCCGTTTGGCGCAATTGGTAGCGCGTTACTTTCCGGTGGTAAAGGTTCTGGGTTCGAGTCCCAGGATGGTCGCATGAGACATCATAAGATGATGTTTCGATTACCTTTTTTTTTTTCTTTGGTGTTGTTGCAGGACGGTCTAGTATGCCGGCTGTCGGCCGGTGTTCCGGCTCCGAACCTTTCGGCGGTTGTCTTTTTTGCCGGCCACGAAATCGCATCATCATATGTTGCAGATGAAAGAATCCAAAGACAGCCTCTTTCTGGTGTTTCCAGGATTCGGCATGGGATCCACTGTGTTGGATCGAACCTTCCTCCTGACTCGATGCCGGCGGTGGTGGACATCCACTTTGATGACCCCTTTTTGGTGGCCAGGGTTAGGGTACGTGATCCTGACAGACAGCGATGAACACTCATACACAAATGCAAGATGGTGAATGTAACCTATAGGCAGGAAAGTCAGACAATAAATGTGGTATATAAAAGTTGATTCGACGAGGACAGGATGGCCCAATGACCGGAAGCCCTGGGTTATACCTCATCTCCTTTTGTCCTCAGCCGGGCCCCCAATCAGCCTTTCATGGCCTTAACCTTCGGGAACTTGCTCCTTCCTCAACGGTATTGAGCTCAGGATCTCATTTCATTGCACGAGGTGTTCCTTCTTCTTCAGTTATACACACAGGCTGCTGACTTCCCCCGTGTGTGGAGCAGTGCAGGCCTGGAAGACACACTGCAGCCTGCAGCCGTTGGTCCCGAATGGAGGCCCTTTGAGACTTGTAACACTGTAGTCGGAAGGAGCATCCTAAAAAGATCTCCCCTTCGCTCATGGATTTGGGTTGTCAATTGATAATGTACCTCTTGTCCTCTTCACGTCACCCGCCAATGAAGCACTTTCCGATTCCCGTTGTTCTCTTGGTCTCAAGCTATATTGACTTCTACTCCATTTCTCGGATGAGGATAGAGTAGAGAAACTCTTTTGGGCATACGAGTATTTTCTGGAGGCTTTTCATTCATGGTGTATCAGAAATAGCAGTGGCAAAGGGGAAGTGAAACGCGTTGGATAGGGGTTTTCACTCTATGAAGATAACTTACATCATCAGTCCGACCACAGTCCCAAAGACACCATGCGAGCTATCATGTCACGGCAACGTCTCCCAGCAGAATCACCCCTCACTGAGCCTCAGGTCCCTTGCTAACCTCATCCCTCTTGGCATCCTTGATCGCATCCAAAAACTTCTGCCTCGCCTCCGCATCATCGCTAAACAGCGTATCAGCCACTTGCCTCTGGGGAGTCTCACCCAGCCACTGGAACAAGGAAATATCACGGAACTCGTCAGCCCTAAAGATCTCAAGCATAACCAACGGCTCATCACCAATGTTCTCGACGAAATGTCCCATGTTCCTGGGCACGATGCCGACGTCTCCGGGCATGTAGTTGAACGTGCGGGCGTTACCCTGGGAGGCAAAGACGGTCACGCGGGCACGTCCGCTGATGAAGAAGGACCACTCGTCGGCGTTTGGGTGCCAGTGCATCTCGCGCAGGGCGCCAGGCTCGATAATGAGGTGGGCAGCGGCCACGGTCTTGGAGATGGGGAAGTTCTTGGAGTCGGTGATGCGCACTTCACCGCCCGAGGTAATCTTGGGGTCTTGGGCGAGCATCTTGTGGGTGAACTGGAACTTGGACTTCTTGATGTTGTTTCCCTGGGGTCTCTCCTGGTCGATGGAACCTGGCTGCGAGCCCTGGAAGATGTACTTCTCCTTCTCGGGAAGGTGGGCAAAGATCTCGGGGGCCAGATGGAAGTTTTTGGCGATGACGGACTTTGGAGTGTGGGCGAGCCAGTCGGTCAATAGGAAGGTGGATTCCTCGGAGAAGCTGCCGTCGTCGAAGATGAGCAGGAACTCGGTGCCGTTATCGCCCAACCCCTGAAGAGAGTGGGGGATGCCGCTGGGGAAGTACCAGAGGTCACCCTTTTCGAGGTCGTCGATGAAGTTGCCGCCTTCGTAGTCCAAGGCGGTCACACGAACGTTGCCCTCGAGGACATAGCCCCATTCAGCCTCCTTGTGCCAGTGCAATTCGCGAATCACGCCCTTGTCGAGGCGCATGTTGACGCCAGCCAACTCGATGCTGGTGGGGAGCTCACGGACAGTGGTCTGCCGAGTCCAGCCTCCTTCCTCAATGCGGATGTGAGAGTCGGCAAAGCTCCAACGGAGACTGGGTAGGGTGCCATGGTCGGTGCTGGGTGGGCGGACCAAGTCGGGATCTTGACGGGAGCGGTCCTTGTTCCATGGTCCTAGGACGGTAGCTCCCTTGCCGTTCCGGAAGGGAAGAGGATCGAGAGCCTCACCGACTGAGTCGACGGCACTATCGTAGGGATCGCGGTACGATGGAGTGTAGGGGTTTGTGTTGTTGACACTCCGGGTGCGGTACTTGGAGGGCAAAGGCTTGCCGTCAAGAAGGCGCTGGCGAGGGCTGTCTTGAAGAGGAACAGCAGAGACTAGGGCAATACCCAAGACGAGAATCAACCCCGTGAAGCGCATCTTGTTGAGACTGGTTCTAGACTGCCGAAGATGTTGGAGTCTGGAGAACTGTGATGATGAGAGTGATTTGCTGATGGAGTTGAGACAACATATGCTGGCAATCGACGCCTTTTATACTCAAGATGGTGTTCATCCTGGCCATGGTCGACATGATCTTGGTCCGCTCCTGTTCCGCGGCATCACTCAGCGTCATTGACTTTGCAGCGTATCGTTGATGTCGTGCTCTCGATGTACACCCGTGTTTCTCATCTCGGAGAAGACCCGGGAGGTTTGAGGGGTCGCAGCTGCGATGTGTGTCGGCAGTGTAACAGCAAACATGCGGATGGTCGCTTCGATGGCCCCTTTCGATGCGTGGGCGGACGGATATAAGACTGGAATGGTTGTCAGAATGCAATAGAGGAAGGAGGCTGCTGATGGAAGAAGGTCTGATGATGGTCTGGAAGATGGAAAAAGAATAAGAAGACGTGCCACTGAGCCAATAGCGCCAAGCACACGCTAGATAGCGCCAAGCACCTGCCAAGAAGAGGTTGTGTTCGCGAACAACATCGGAGGGGTTTGTTACATCATCACCACCTCGACTGTCAGTGGCCGATAACAATTCGGGGCTGTTTCGGGGTTCTGAACCTTCAGGCCACGGACGCGCTTTAAGCAGGGTGTTATTCGGCTGTGTTACAACGCGCCATCCCATCTCATCCATCCGATCATGCCGGACAGGGACGACATTGGATGAAACTCAGACCGAGGTGCGATGAACTCTTTCCCGAGTCATCCCGCTCATTTCTGTGCCTATTTAGGTCTATGGATGCTTCCCAAAATCCCAACATAATCCCACGATGATCGACAGTAAATCGACGGTCCGGATCTCCATGATCACCGTGGACCTTTTTAACCAGCGGGAAGAAACAAGCCTTTCGCTTCTTACATATCGTTTATCCCATAATAGCGCCAAACAATCGCGCTAATTTGACGCCAATCCACAATCGACAACATTCTATTCCCAGTCCCGTCAAAGGGCAAACGCCAATCCTGACTCACCCATTGACTGACCCATTGTCGTCACCCCCACGACGGGACGAACCGTCGTCATAAGCAAAAAATGTCTCCTCCAACAAGGAACCCGTCAAGTTCCTATGGCACCATCAACCACAACAACATCAACAATTCTCACCACAATACCATCACCGACAACTCGGAAACCCAACCACTACTCTACCCAAGCATCACCATGTCAACAGACACCACCACCCCGACCCTCCCAGAAGGGGCAATCACCAAACCCTCCTCTCCCTCCTCCTCCCATGGGCCGGGGCGATGGCGCCGCCATCTATCCTCAGACATCGACCGCACCAACGCCGACGTGATCCTAATAATCTGCTACCTGATAACCGGCCTCCTGGACTCCTCCTCCATCTCCATCTGGGGTTCCTTCGTCTCCATGCAGACCGGCAACACAGTCTACACCGGTCTGGGGCTAGCCGCGCCTCACGAATCGACGCGATGGATCAAATCGGGCACTTCCCTGCTCGCCTTCTGCCTGGGGTCGTTTCTGTTCAGTCGGTTCCACCGTCTTTTCCGCTCCCCGAAGCTGCGCTGGGTGTTGTGCGTTTCGTTTGCCGTGCAATTGGCGTTTTGCGTGGCCGCCGCGGCCGTCGTCACGGTGGCGGGGAAACCGAAAGATAGCGAAGCCATCGAGTGGCATGTTCTGCTGCCCATCGCGCTGCTGGCGTTCCAGAGCTGCGGGCAGGCGGTGACGAGCAGGGCCATCAAGTATAATGCGCTGACGAGCGTGGTGTTGACGAGCATCTACTGCGATCTGTTTTCGGATCAGGAACTGTTCAAGCTGCATAATCGCGAGCGGAACCAGAGAGTGGGCGCGCCCCTGTTTCTGTTCTTGGGAGCGCTGTTTGGGGGCTTCTTTGCGCATACGGACTTTGGTGTTGCGGGCGCACTGTGGATGGCGACCGGGTTGAAGTTGGTGGTTATTGTACTTTGGCTGATTTGGCCTGCTGAGAAGCCGAAGCCGGTGACTCAACATCCTAATGGACTGGAGAGAGCTTGAATTGTGTTGGTGTAAGCGGGTTCTTAGCATTGACGCCTGTTGTTTTAGATACCCCCCGATGCGCAAGTTGAGCCTGTTGAGCGAGCAAGTTTCTTCTTGCCTTGTACTTTTGTTTTTATTAGATGTCGACTTACACTAGAGCTATAGACTTTGTGGTTCTCATGGTATCATTAATCCAAATTCCTAATAGAATCTCTGTCATCATCTCCGATCCCAAGCAATAATTGGGTCGCATTCAATCATAGCTTCTCGACATTACGCAAAGCCCACAGCTCCTTGGGCTCACCAGCAGCATCGCAAGAAGAAAACTTCCACCAGCCCGAATGCAAAGCACCGGCAATGTTAACTAATCCCCACTTGATGGGAGCAGGCATCGGTGGCCAGTTTGCCCACATGCCGTCCTCAACCGTGCGGTCAAGGTTGAGAAGGAAGAAGGGCACGCAGTCCGTCACGCCAGCCTTTGTCACCGTCGCCTTACCCCAAGTCTTGAACGTGGTGACCGCCGCCATGTGCTCGGGTGTTCCCTCCTTGGGGGCGTTCGCATGCTCCGAGAGCTTGGAAATCGTAGAGATTTCGCTGTGAAAGTGGTCGGAGAAGGAGTCCTGGAAGGTGCCCATGATACGAAGCAGCTCGTCGCCCAAGAAGTCGCTAGGGCTCTTGAGGCCACTAAGGTACTTTTCAAACTCGGCAAGACCGGGCAAGAAAGCCTCTGTGATAGGAAGTCAGTCAGCTGTTTTTCCCATCAGTACTCTTGGACCCGAGTTCTCTGGCTTCTTACCATGCTCCTTGTGAGTTTCCTCAAAGACAGTCTTGTCCTGCAACAGGTCCTCGATCTTGGGGAACAGCGACTGCTCTTCGTCGTCATGATGAGACTTGACGAATCGGTACCAGGTCAAGCAGTAGCCGATAAAGTCGGCCTTGTCCTGGTCGGCAACATGGGCAGCCTGCTGGTAGATGGAGTTGTAGCCGCGGAAGATGGAGTTGTGCAGTAGGGCCATGTGGGTAGCACCCGAGGTGAAGATGTCCGTCTTCTTGGTCGCGTACTGCGGTGTGGTGATGAGCTTCATGGGCTCGTCAGCCCACGCCTTGGTAGGTGCGACGGAAGTCATAGTGAATGCTGGGGCGCGAGTGAGCAAAAGGGCGACAATCAAGAACGGAATCGAGAGAAGTACTGTCGTCGTTGTTGGTGAAGATGCTGATTTGCTGCCAGCCATTGGAGAGAAAAAGAGAAGCAAGTTCTCTCCTGATATGGTCAGCTAGAGTAGTACGTAGTAGGGCTGAAGATATGGAAAGGGAGAGAAAGGTTCCAGAGTCGAAGAGGAGCCGGGCGCAGTCTGCCGTCCAAAACTCCAAAGTCCGCAATCAATCCGACGAATGATGTGTCGTACGATGTTGATTACACGCCCGGCCAGAATGGTCCTTTCCTGAAAGATCCCCGGCGCATCGCGGGGTTAGAAGTCGCGTCTGCCAATCTGCCAAATTGAGGTGCCACTTGTGCTCGTCACGGTGGACTGGGTGGGACGGGACTCCCCGCTCCCCACGGGCTGTTTTAGCTGTTAGCGGCCTAAAATAAGATAACGGCAGTGCCTGAGACACAGGGCAGCGTGGGGTCACTTGGAGCGCTCCTTCCGCGGCCTGACGTCCACTGAACCGTGCCCTGAGAACCTTGACGGTTCCTTCCCGTCCAGATGGACGCCGTGGAAGTGGAATTGGCTGCCTCTTGCTCAATTTATCGTCTTCCATCCTGACACCATTCCGTCGTCTTACTTCCTCCTCATTCTTCTTTCCCTTCTTTCTTCCTCGGAGTCCAGCATTTTCCAAATTCCCACCATCTTTCAGGCAACATTCGGGGACGATACGTACGCTCACGGCTCGCAACATACATATCCACATGGCAGTATCTCGCAGCAAAAGACCTTGTACGGTCGGTTGCGCAGGCCATGACGAATATTAGCACCGGCTGACCACCTCGAAGCTCTGTCGGCACCTCATCGAGAGAAATATGTCCATCATGCAAACATTCTGAAAACAACCAGCCAGCCGCATACCGTTTTGTTGACCATGGTCACATTTCAAGGCAACGTTACTTGCTGACCGTTGACTCACCGGTCAGACCGGGAACTCCTCGCCGCGCTCGCATAAGCCCATCTCCACTGCCGAGCGGGGAAGACACGAATAACCGGAACGTCAACACGCCGGCCCCGCCATCGATCCCGCTGCTAC